CCCATAGTAAAAGGCCTTTGTTTACATAGTTTAATTTGACTACGGAAAGTTCCGTCTATACCTGATCAATACTTAGGGCTCAAGGTGGGTGTGACCAGCAAACAGGGGATGCCTGCTCCTCCTAGGCATCTGATCCCATTGGATCCCTTGAACTGAATTTCTGGGGTCTGTGTTTTCTTATTTGTATTAATTGTAGATTCGTGGAGATTTATTACTGTTTGTTATCTTTATCATTTATATAAATAAACACTGATCGAGTACCACGTTCATTTTAGGGAATATTTTTTCTAGCGTCCATGTCTCAATGTATTTTCTTTCCTGTGGATCCGAGGAGAAAAATAAAAAATAGGGAAATTCCCTTCTTCGAAGTCTCCTAATCACACTAGACCCTCGGCCCGTCACGCGCCGGTCCGCGGTAGAGTTTGGGTGTTTTCTGCTCGAAAGACACTGCCATTGATAACCTATCGTATTTTAATTATTCTTTCCACGTTAGTGAATTTGATAGAAATGCGTCATTCTGATTTTTAATTTTGTTTTTCGTCAATTAAGCGGAAATATTTCATCAAATCGTGAACCTACTGTCGACGGCACCACTTACATAAGTACAACTTACAGTTTCAAGGCCTTCTTTCCTTGAACGAATTTAATATGTCCTACTCATTTAAAAATTGCTTACAGTGTCTTTTTTTTTCAAACCTCATTATTCTAAGATATTAAAATTCTCCTGAAATGAGCAAAGATGGATAATGTCATGCATGTTCTTTCTCCTGCTTCGTTACATTCCTAGGGGGGGGGGGGGGGATTGGTCAATTGGACGCCTAATTATTAAGATTTAAAATGATTTTTTAAGATAAAAGAGGGTTCGGACGTAACAGTGTCATTTTAATATATCTAATGAAAAATGACGACACTTACATCAAACCGTCCCAATTATATTACAGAAGGGGGAAATATAAATATCTCCCTCTCTTCATATGCACCTCTCTCTCTCTCTCTTGCTCTCTCTTCATATAATATATAAACATTTATTAGATAAATATGATGATGCTTTAGGCCAACATATGCGGTTGACCACCAATGTTTAAAATAAATTCAATAATCTTTATGTTTGTCTTAGGTCTGTATGGTACATGTACGGTGTCTTTGAAATTTTGCGCCAATGTTATTAATCACAGACATTCACAGACATTGGCCATTTTTTATCAGACTTACTAAAAGGATTTCGCAAAATATTATGCCAATATGAAATTTACGTGTCAATATTATATGGGGAAAATGTATTGTCCAATCTAACCTCTCTTCAAAACCACTTTCACAAGTAGCATGTCCGTTTTTATCAAGTCCACACAGACACCTGTTCTCGTGTATTGATTTAGGGATGAAGACTGGCCATGATTTACCTTATATATATAATATATGCGTACATAAAACTCGATTGTATAAACAGGTCATGGTCACATATTCTGACCAAGTGTCAGCTCCCCCGGTCCCTACGGTACAAACGCCCACTCAAAGATTGGATGAACGATAACTTGTTTTTAACAAGTTCATAACGCCAAAATCTTCACAGTGCTTAAATTTAATGTTCGTGTGGTTTTAGCAGTAGCGATTTATAGGTTTTTAAAGGAAGCATTATCAAGTCAAATTAAAATAGTTTCTTATCCACTCACACATGTCCAACACTTTGGAGTTTTAAACCGAATAAAAACTTATGACATCAATTCTGATTGTAATATCCCCTCTTTTCTGTCCAATTTTTAAATCTTTCTCTCTCTCATGAACTAGACACACATTTACATAAATTAAGACAGGCTGTGGCATTATTCTAAAACAGATCAATGCCCAGTGTAAGCTAGAAGTCCTTCACCCGAGAAGATTAAAGATCCCCAGTCCTTACACCAATATTGACAGTATGGGGGTTCACAAGGATTAAGTGCAGTTCTGGAGTTATATTAATCAAGCACAATGACTTAACTAACCTTTAATACAGCTCTAATCAATACACACAGAATAACAAACACGGTATTCAATAATTGATCACCAAATGCGAATGTTCTAGAGAGAAAGAAAAACACATACCTAATACCATCTTCTTATACAGATCAAGATATTTTCTATGGAGAAGCTGAAGGCTCTTTGGAGAATGAAAGAGCCTTCAACTTCTCAACATGAAATAATTTCAAGAAAGCTACGAAGTGTGGTACACAAAAATGATTAGTCTAAATATTAGCTGGGGGAGGGGGTTGTTCTAAACTGATCTACTCTCTTCCATTTTTTTCTGTTCTTTGTATATATAATGGTCATAGGCTAGCATTAGATAAATTTATGAATTACTTTTCTACTCAGATGTCTATTTGCTGCTCTTTCTTTAAAGCATAACGTGTTAGAACCGGCACACTAATTTGTAAGAGTAATTCTGTGCTTTTAATGGCACATTGCAAAAAAAAAATATTCTGATAAAATATATTTTAAAATTTGAATCTAAAATTTTGTATATGAAGTATGCTTTAATAAGTATTTTAGATCCAGACCCATAATTAAGTAAAAAGAAAAATAAGCAGCAAGTCTGCAGAACATATGAACATGTAAAATAAGTACCGGTATATAAGTAAATGTCAGAAGATGTTTATCAGATATACTAGTACATATAAATAAATCCCTGTTTCAAGGTTCTGTAAGAAGATCATAGCTCCACAATAACATTGTACATGTACATAACTCCCTTATCAATGAAACAGGAATAGCTTACTAACAAAACCTTTCATCTTATCAGTATCCCCAACCTCTCTTCAGGGGCATCTGAACAGCTCTATTGAATGCTATTATCTAGTTATACAACAGATGTGGCAAAGAATAGATAGATTCTGCACTCTAAACAGTGAAAGATCATATATACAAGAGGGTCAGGAGTTAGTAGATTATTTCATTCTGGATTAGTTCTGGTACATTTACTTTAGATTAATGTAAGGCCAGATAAAATTAATCTTTAGATTCTCATCCCCGCCCGCCCCTCTCAAAATGTCCCGCCCCGGCGTTTTTTATTTTGATTTTTGGATATTAATAAAGGCATTTTCATATATTTTTATTCAGTAAGAATTTAGGTGAAGTTTAAGAGTTATCTCCCGTCTGTATTAAAAGTCGCGTGTCGCTATTCATAGCAAAAGAGCCATGTGAAGAATGTAGAAAAATCGGCAATAAAAGTTTAGATATGTAAGGAAAAGATTATTTGTCAGTATAGAGAAGGCAGAGAAAATATAATAGCATAAACACATCTAGATACCATTACTGCCATTTATGAGTAAGTTTTTAAAGATTTTTTAAAACTAAGTATAAAAAATAGACATGCAAAATGACACCTGGTCAAGTTTAAACGATCTCCAACTGTGTGTGATTTAGATTTGAAAAAAAATAATAAAACATGGTAGGCAGGCTTTAGAGAATGTTTAGTGCTAAGAAAATGTTAAATATCAAACCTGTTCAGGCCTCAGTTTTTTTGGTAGGATATTTTATCAAACCTGTTCAGGCCTCAGTTTTTTTGGTAGGATATTTTATTGGAATATTTTATAGATTTTGTAAATATGACCTATTTTATTGTCGAACATGTCAAGTCTCATTTTTTAGGAAGGTGGGAAACTAATATTTTACAGAAAACAGAGGGATTTGTAGGTAAAACTAAAGGGTCTTTAGGGAAAGGCCGATGAGAAGTCATGCATACAAAATTTATTGATATCAGAACCCCACCTCATTTCGTTTTGCGTGTGCCGTACGCATACGTGTACTTGATAATTTGTTAATTAACAATAAATATCTAATAATTTAAGCAAGAATTTTCTTTAAAATATTTAAAAGAATATGAAAAAAAAAAATCTATTCATATTGGCATTAACATAATGAAAAAATGTGTACGGAAAGTCCATGTTTTGGTAATACTTACAATTTAACAATTATAAAAAATAAAAAATAAAATCCGCCCACCCGCCCCAATTTTTTAGCAAATTAGGATGAGAATCTAAAGATTAATTTTACCTGGCCTAATAAACTTCATTTTAAAACAATGGTATGCATAATTTGGCACCTCAGACTTTCTAGTACACTAGTTTGACTTGACAGCACTGGCGTAGCTTACCAGAATTTACACCATAGCTAAGCTGTCAAACACACAGCACATAAAGTAGCAAGAGAATGTTTTATTCATGTCTAAGTCCTATCTTGCCAGCTTTCTATAGTTTTCCCTGGGTCTCGAGAATAGAAAAAATATATTTATATAATTTTTATGCCCCACTTTCCATTAAAACCACAAGATTTTAGCGCTTCTCTATATTTCCCCATTTCTAATTCTGCACGTTAATGGAAAATATTTGCATAGACTAGCCAAGCTGAACTGTTGTGTTAATTAATTGTGCCTGTATACATAAATGTACATCGATTGCTGGTATTTACTCTGGAGTTCAGTACATGATCACTACAAAGTCTCTAACCCAAGTCCAAGAACTTTCAGTACAACCAGTGAATTTACATGTTCCGTACATATTTGGGTTTTTTTTATGAGCATCCAAAACTTCTTCCCGATTTGATGAAATAAAGTACACTCAAGTTCGGAATATTTTGTACTTATAACAGTATAACTACATGTACTGACTGAAATAATACTAAACATTTCTTCCTATTTGTTTATACCAGGCTCTACATTTCTGCATGAGCAATATCACAGTTTATTACATAATTAAGGAAAACCTTTAATTAATAGGAAATGTTGGATATTAGATAACCAGTCACTTTATCTTGCTTATTCCACAACTGACTCATGTAAAGCCAAAAACTTCCAAATTATAGATAGTTTCATTATTTAAAAATTTTCATATAGAAAGTTACTTTTCCCTTAGTCACCATAATTATAGTCTTCTAAATCTGTATTCAAACTGAATCTGCATTCCAAACTTATTCTATATTCAAACCACTGATGACACAGGTTTTAAAAACTGAACAAAGTAGTTGTTTCAAAAAAATATTTTATTTGTTTACTGGAATTTGCCAAATAATACAATTTAGTTCCAGTTGCTGAAGCCATGATAATATGATATACAATTTGACACTCAGTGTCTTTAACAAGTAAATAATACATAATATGTAAATTATACACATACATGTATATACTGTATCATATATATATTTATATACCATTTTGTGATATAGTATACATCGTTAAAAGATCTAGAAACAGACAAGCAAATACATTTTGTAGCAATCAATACATGTGTATGATAATGAAAATGTGAACAAAAAAATCTATATATACTATACCCTGGGAAATTTTTAAAGCATTCTTTATATTTTTTAATCCTTTTTATTCAGTCATTTTTTTTTTTAAAATAGAAAAGTTTATTATAAAATAACCCAAGTCCCAAAGAAGTATGTTAAGTTCATAAGACTTAAAATTTCCCATGGAACAGTACAAAAAAATATAATGTACACATGTACATACTCTTGTCTTTTCAATCTAAGTGAAAGCTTTGGTTTATAATGACATTCTTATTGAACAACATATTATAGTATTGGAGAAATGATCAAATGATGTTCGACTAGAAAATTGTGGCTATTGAAAACCGAGACAGAGAAAAACAAACCCTTGAAAAATTATGAGCGAATGAAATCGTACGAGACCTGCAACACATTAAGAAAGGGAAAAAAAATGTGTGAGAAAAATATTTACAGGTCAACTAGAAAAAACACAGGATGAAAATAATCACCATTATTTTACTTATCGCTTGTTCACAGTGTCCCTAAAATCTGCTACTTTAAACATATTGTTAATCATCAGAAGTTGGAAAGTTGCCGAAGATTAAACAAACTTTGTGGAGTGGTAATCAGCAATGACCTATATAAATAATTCTGTACAATTGGACTCTTCTGTACATTTCATGTCCCTACCAAAATAACACATCAGCCAGACCAATAAAAAATCACATGGGTCAAATATACAAGTTTTTACAGAACTCTTAATGAAATAATCTGTAATTGGTTGATAAGCTTTCATAGATTACACCAATTTTTACAACATTCCTTCACTTCTCTGTGAAAGGGGATTATACTTGTTGGATTGAATAATGTACTAGAGCACAGCTTATAACAGGTCTAAATCAGGAGCCCTTGGGACATAGGCTGTCAGACTGTGATGGATGTTTAGGGCCCCTGTTGAAGTGTTAGCTATGTCAAACCATCCCTATGGAGATAAAATGCCAGAATTTATTTCTCTTCACTGACAAAACCAGCTGGCAATACACAGCTATCTTACATGATTTTTGACAATCTTTTTCCCCCATTCTTTTAAATGATCGATACAAAACAAAATGATCATTGCTGATAACCCACCCTTAGCTTTTCTTTATTCTATTTTTACTTGTATGATCACAGATAGTTTTAATGCTACAACAAAAAAATTAAATAAATAAATCTCTGAAATTAGAGTAACTGATGAATAAATTTTATTTCCTTAATCAAAAAATAAAAGGACAGCTTGTAAATTTAAGAACGTACACAATGTATGTCAACATTTGCCAAATGTCTTCATTTACATTTTTCTTTAGAATAAATAACAAATTACAATGTAAGTACATCTTAATTTATTAAATTATGCAGGCATTTTATTAACTGAAATCTTTTTATAACAATGAGATGAGGAAAATAATTTTTATTATGACAGTTACGCACATGTATATCTTGCCCCCTCTACTCAGAGTCCACAACTTGATTAGAAAAGCTTTATGCTCCCTCTCTATTAATTAAAACAGTCTACAAATGAATACATGTGGTTTTAACACGTTTGATGAATTTCAAATTTAATATATGTTAAGAAAACAAAAATCTTTGGTTAGCCTGCCCTCTCATTGAAACAAATTTTGCAAGGATATGTCACATGCAAATAGTCCTGAATGACATATCTTAAACAAACTTATCTCTTCCCCTCCATGGCACCCTCCCCCCCCCCCCCCTTCAAATAAAGTGATAGCTGTTCTTAATATTATTATGTATAAGATGAAGGCATTTATTTAATTCAATTTTTTAAAATAGCTAGAGAATTCAAAGCAAATTTACCATAAATGAAGACTAACCATTTATTGATTAAAATTAATAAAAAAATAATTTTTTGTTCCTTTTCAAACTTCGCATTTTTTCTTGTCATTAAAAAAAAGGATTTTATGGATATATTACACAATTACATAGTATTAATTAGTAAATTAATATGATAATATCTGGTCCCAGTAAATTCATAATGTGTTGTGGTTTCAATTAAACAAATTTACAAATGCAAATCTAGAATTTAAAAAAAAAAAAAACATTAACAATAATGTCATGCTAATAGTATATAACAATAACAATATGTAACAAAAATTGCAAGTATTTCCAAAAAATAGGGAGCAACCATAGAATTTTTTTAAACAAACTATGTATCACATAGTCAAACGTTCTACATCACAGGTGCTATGGTCACATGACACACGCACAATAAACAATGTGCACCATTTTTGCCATATCTTTCCTCTACGTCTTTTGATTACACATCCAATACATCAGGTTGTAATAAGTAAATACAGGAGCAAAAACTTGCATACCTTTGATATGACAATCAAATGCTTTTCCCTATAACAATGATGGAACTGAAATCACATGTTCTGTATAATTTTTTAGATGAACTGTTAATTAGTATGTGGTGATAAATATGTACCATTGCTACAGGTTTACTTTGGAAAATAGTTGCTGCCTATTCGTTCCTAACTCTGTGCATTGCACCTTCTCACATGCTGTGTTATTTTTTTCCTTTTGATCTTGGCACACAGATTAAAAAATCTTATCACACAAACATATCAGGCAATCATCTGATCATGAAAAAATATAATGGCTGATTTTATACAAAAATACTTTTTTTAAAATCCCTAAATTATAACACCTATATATGGAAAATGATTTCATTTGTACATCATATGAACTTTTTCCCCCTCAACTTTTTTTTTTTCAAAAAAATTATCAATTAAAGTGAAGCATAATATATGTTTTTTTAAAAAAAAATATATCACGTTGAAATGAAGCAAAAAAAAAAAAAATCATCCAGTTGTTCATTCCAACATAACAGAATCAAAACATGACTCGGATTTCAAAAAGTACATGAACACATTCTACAAACACTTATCAATTCAATGTTCCACAATGTTCCATTTCATACAAAAAAGTCCATTATTTATCTATTGCTACTTTGCTCAAAGTACACAAACGTTATCAGGTAAACATTGTGATTCTCTACCAGGTATAAACCTAAAGGTGCTGTAGATTAAAAATCATGCATACATGTACGAGATTAAATTCCTTATCATATTCATACAATGGGTATGATTCGCACGATTATTTGAAGATCATTGGAAAATACATCCCTGATAAAAATCAAAGATTTGAAGATCACAGTTTTTTTTTTAAAAAACATTTTCAAGGCTCCTTACAAAACATTTACAGTTTCCCTTTCTAAACACTCAGAATATGGATCATTTCACAAAAAAAGCACTTTATTCTTGCACACGTTTTTCGAATTTTCATTCCTCTAACCGTTTAGGAGCACTGCAGAAATGGGGGCGGAGGACAGTGAGGGCAGGGGGCATTCATCTGAAACACATTGGGCATGATGTTGTAATAATGAGTGCCGTTGGAGACCGAAAAAGGACCATGGAAAAACACTTGGTCTATTGTGAGATTGTTCAACTGGTCGAATTGCTGCATCTCCAAAACCTTGTTTTGGGCACGACGCTCTTGTTCCATGTAAACTTGGCAGGCCAACTGGTGAATCAGATTCAGAGTTTGTCTTCGTTCATGTCCCATAAGGCAGATTGTGCTTTCATCCACAACACGATATAATGTTAATAAATACTCGTGTTTCAAGTCCTCCTCATCACTGAAATGATTGTTTAAGTAAGCGTCCAGCTTTTGGCGTTGCTGATTTATATCACTGAAGTCGATGAAGAATCTAGAACACATGTACCTTTCCATTGCACGAATATCTACGTTTTCTGCTGGGTTGTATCCTCTTGTCAGAAGACAGCAATACTTCAACAGGCCCCCACCTCGGATTTCTTCTGGATTTCTGGTTGCAATCAGCTTATTGTCTAAATGATGCCATGCCTCCAAGAAATCTCCATACATACTCTCTGCAACAACAGTTGGATAAAATCTCTCACTCATTGGAGCAGAAGAAATTTCATAGAAGGTCAGCAAGCTATCCAAAATAACTTGAAAGGAATCAACACTGAATTCAAACTGTCTTTTCATTTTATCCACAAACTTCAATTCCACATTCTTTCCCTTGTTGTTTGAAAGAGAAATCAAGCTCCATTTGTCCCCGTGCTCATTGCAAACTTTTACCATTTTCTGCACATATGCTTCCTTTAGACTGCAACTGCTCATTTTCTCTTTATTCACACCATCTGGGAGAAAATCAACGAGACAACCAAGAACGCAATTCTTAATTTTCTGAAGCTCTGCGTGATTCGAGCCATGGGAGAGATCAACACCAAAAATCAAATCCACATCGTTGTATGAACGGACAGAGTCCGTTCCGAAAATATAGCTAGCTGCACCCCCATTCAAACGAATATCTCGAACACATACCCCTTCTGTCTTCAATTTGTCCCTCACAACCTGTACTAAATCCTTGAGCTTGATGTCCAGAGTGGGAAAATTACCGCGACCGTGTATTGGAATCACATCTTCCATCACTTTATTCAGCCGGTCAACTTGTTCATAGCACAAAACTTGAAAACGGTTCATACATTCCATCTTGACAGTCCCGTTTCCAAGTATATTTCACTTAAAGTTTGTCCAATAAGTTTCGAAAATTGAACAATATGGCTCAATACTTATGAATACAAGGTAGGTTCAACGTTTCCCTTGACCGTTCTCTTTCGTTGTGCAAGTCAATCTGCAGAATTGGCAGAAGTACATTGATTGTCACTTCACCGTGTATTCATACGCACTACGACGCGATAACGATCGTGATGGCTGTACTGCGATTTAAAAACCTAGAATTGTAAAAAATTAACAACACATCAAAATTAAAACACACTATAAAGTTTCTTATCAACTCAATAAACTAAGTATAAATTATCTTGTTATATACTTAGAAATCGTCAGCACGGACTATTTTTGAAAGCGCATTGATATTTCTCGAGAGTGCGTAGAAACAGCTGATTATGGATAAAAATAGACGTAATCTGTGATTGGTTCATCCTAAGGGAATACACAAACTTACGATAGGTTGTGAAATTGATACGAAAAGCTTATACAATGACTACACGAATCCATCTGGAAAATTTCTCTAAAAGTTACCAATTCTAATTTTAATGAAAAGAGTTTTTAAATTAAAAGATTAGCCAAATTTACCAATTACGTACACAAAGGAAAATCATTAATTCGGTTATTTTACATATCTAAGTATATCTCAAATACTAACATATGGAATATTACTATAAATTTACAACATCGATATACCATGAAAGTTAATTTAGTAAGACTACACTACGCAAAATAAATTTAACCAATGAGCCTAATAATACTGCTAATAATTTTCCTTTAAAAATTAAAAAAAAATTCTAAAATAGAATAAAAATGTTACAGTGACTGTATATATGTATTATCTTACCTTTGATCAAAGAGATGTCATAGGGCAGTTTAAAAAACATGTAATTTTACAAATGTTTGTTCTTTCCTGTGGGAAGTATATCCTGACAATACGGATATGCTGATGAAAATGACAGAAATTTTGTAAACAACTCAATTTCCATCAGCCTCCCACTCAGAGGCTCGGACCAAGCTCTCTTTACGCAGAATTGCCTAAAAATATTAAATACATATCGACTTTTGTGCTAGTCAATATCCACGCATACGTCAGAGAGAGCCCAACGTAAAATTGTAATTACTCGACTGATTGGAGATGCTGCTAAAATGGAAATCGATCGCATCATTCACGTCAGAGCAGTGACCAAATAAGGAGAATTTTATGAATGAATGAGGCGAATCTGTGAAAATGATCACGTTCTACAATGTTCTGTCTCAAAATCTGTGATCAATATGATGTCTCTCACAGAGAGAGAGAGAGTATGATAATAATTATATTTTTCTAATATAAGATAGTGAGAAGCAATCGATTCAAAATTTTGCCCGCAACCTTATTGAAAGTAAGATTTAGTGTAAAATAATAAATGTTGCTTACTCCTATTCAAGTATCATAGGAGGTAGAACTTGAGGTACACTTTTTTAGAGAGGTCAAATATATGCATGTTTATATATTTTTTTTTGTTGGGATGTTAGGGCCAATCTTTTGAGAATAAAACACACACGTATGACAATTTAATTACTAGTAACAGTTCCTCAGTATAACAATCTACAAATGTGATTTTTTTTCCTATACAGCATGTATTGATTTTTTGGAAAACTTTTTTTTCAACATCAAAATGTACATTAATAAACAGGTATTTATTTTTAAATAAAATGAGCAAAAATAAATACAATTCAGATGATAAAAATTAACTACAACATTTACTCCAAGAACTCAGGTTGGAAATATCTGAATTGCAAGAAAGACAACTCTAACTGGCAGAACAGAAGATAGTGAATAGAGTTATATTTCTTTGTTCGCCCAAATAATAAAAAAAAAAATTGTGCATTGTTTTTAAATCTTGTAGTGAATAACCATATGAAAATTTTTATTGAATAGTACTATGAGACTTTAAAACACATTCATTTCATACTAAAATTTCAATAGTAAATTATTAGGGAGACTAAAATATTATTTTAATAGGCCTAGTTAGGTCCTATAAAAGAAAAATGAAGTGTTCCAAGAAAAGTAACCCTTCCTGACGAATTATTATTATTGTGACAAAAATATTGGTGGGTTCATATATATGGATATTGATGTAAATCAGAATATAAATTTAGGTATTCATGCCGGTTTGTCAGCACACAGATATCTACCCTTATTGAAAAGAATAGACGAGTATCAATGGGTACATTGGTATGGAAAATCTATTGTCTATGGGCTTTCATGTAGCCCGCGTAGCTCAGTCGGTAGAGCATCAGACTTTTAATCTGAGGGTCTTGGGTTCGAGTCCCAACGTGGGCGCCACGTTTTTGAAAAATTCTGAAAGTTGGTTAACTTTTCATGCAGCCATAAAGCTTTGATAATGACATATAATTTCCCACTCCTTCGATCATTAACAGTTTTGTATAATCTTCGTAATATATATAAAAAAAAATAATATTGAAAACAATATTTCATACCTTGTGATCGATTTCTAAACTGGTTTCTAATTCATTTAAAATGGTTTGTATTTGTTTTAAAAAGATACATGTATGCCAAAGCTAAATTTTTGATTTGGCGATTTATGTTATCTCCAAAAGGATTATATAGGCAACAACATCATCTGCTTTCTTGCACAAATGTCTGGTAAGGTACCTCAAATATTTGTGGGATAACTTGTTAAAGTAGCATTACTTCAACAACAAAATCTGGGAAAAAATTATATATTATTTAGAAACGTGTCGTCTGTTCTTCAAATGTTTTTTCCACAGACACGCACAATACAAAATTTTAATACTTGATAATATTATACTAATAAAAGAAAATAATGCGCAGAATAGCAGAAAATAATGCGCAAAATATTGTTATCTGTTCGTAAACACAAACACCTGACGTACGAAAGTTGTTACCGCCCCCTTTTTATCCATGTTAGTAAATTTGTAGCGATTATGCATGCCTAAATTACCATGATGTTGATACACGTAAATTTTTAGTACCATTAAGATCTTCTTTCAGAATTGGAGAAAAAACACACATCTGTTTATAAAACATACACAAATTCATACCTTTCTGATATCGGATACATTTCTCTTATTTTAAGAGAGACTGCTCATCTCTAGTTATAAAAATATTAAAATATATACACTAGAAGTTTTACACGTAATGTCAACCAACTGTCGAAAAGGGCAGAACGTGTAAGAATACCCCCCCCCCCCCCCAAACATGTTTACATCGACACACATTCTACGAGCTACGTACAGTCTTTATCGTCGACTGGTTCGATATATAACCGGACCCTCAGGTACATTAGATATAAACTTTCAACACATTATAACCAATTCATTATGTTAGTAAATTCGATGGCGATTATGCACGCTTTGAAACATTACCATGATGTTGGACAGATTCAGGACGTTGAGAGCTTAATCGTGTTGCAGGCAGTGCCCATAACCAGAATTCATACTCCATTCTATAGGCTTTTATCAGAGAAAAAAAAAGAAGAAAATTTACACAAAAAGTTTTGTAATTCGTTTCATATTACTGTTATCAATATTGAGCTATCAATTTCCCAATTTCAGTAAATGACATTATTCGTTACTCACCCTACTGTTTGTTTCCGCGAACTGACCAAATCTCGCCAATCTTCAGCTACTTTGACCCACAATCCTTTACATCCCCTGCAGTGTGTTACGCAATCTCGATGCTGTCGGGCACTTAAGAAGGGTTTGTAGGTCAGAAGTGGACTCCTGCATGTGGTATAGCTGGTTAAATTGTCATTAGTACTGTGTCTGACCAAAACAAAGATTACTGAAACTTTATCTTCCGTGATAAACAAGAAAGTGTAATATTCATTAGATTCGTTCAAAATCTGCTTAAACCTTCTAATGTCCGGGAGGGAAAGGAATTAATTTTGCTGATTTTTGGTGAAAAAAGATGGAACTTGTTTGTTAACATGGTTAATGCTTTCTATGTTCTGAGATACGGGATATTCCAGATTTCATCCCTCCCCTTCCAATGTCTTGATGTAAAATGTAATAAAGTTTTCGATAATGTTTAAACTATTATGTATATCCCTTTCCCTCCCGTGCAAGGCGCCTTGCTTGGTATATAAACGTATAATGAAAGTGTCATAGTCAAAGAATACGGTAATTAACAGGGAAAAATTGTTTCGTCTTGATTCATTCTTGAAATAAAAGCAGTCCATTATTGTAATGCATGTTACATCGTCTAATCCTACTTGAGAGAACTCAAACTTTGTAGGCCAGTGTTGGGGTTAGTGAAGTGGCAAAAGAAAATTTTGGCAGATCCAGGATTCAGTGTTCAATGTGAACATGTACTAATAGAAAACGGAACTGCAGCTAGGAGGTGTGTGTGTGGGGGGGGGGGGGTCGAGCTCATTAATTAGTGAGCTACTTAACCACTTTTGATTATCATCAAAGTACCCCCCCCTTTTGCACAGCTCTTGTTTGTAATGTATTCGCTAAGTGTTTGTGTGTGGGGGGGGGGTGTTCCAACCTCTTTCAGTACTATATTTTATTCTTACACACCACTTAATTAAATTGCCCCTATTTGACTATAATGCAAAAATTTGGAGGGGGCAACCTGACTTTCAATGATATTTTTTAAAGAATTTTCTGGTCGTCAACACTCCCTTCACCTTGAAAAAAGAAGAATTATAAGAACGTGCCTAGCGCAGTTTTGCAGTACTTACAGAATATCGGAAAAGCAATCCCGTATTTCATAAATATTTTTTTTAGACATTTTTTTTTCTATTCCCCATTTATCATTATGGGGAGGGAGTTGAAGGAGGATTTTGAGCAGAATAGTTATAAAAAAAAATATAAGTAAACCGATTTCATATGATGTAAAACCGATTAAAACGCTTTTAAAAATATCACTATGAAATTCGCATACATACACTAGTATAATATAGATATACCACGACTAGATCCATATTTTCAGCTGGTTGCAATTAAAGCTTGCAGGTAACTCATTGTGAATTTTCAATGATAATACCTTATTTTCTTCGGAAGTAAAAAAAAAAGCTATCAAAACTTTTGACAATACGATGCCCTGAAAATAACTACACTGTACATGATGAAGTTCACACTTTTCTTGAAAAGGCGAAATGGCAAAATACATTTGTAAGTTGTCTCTCTTTGTATACTAAATGTAGTACATTGTATATGAACTTATTGACTAAAAATTATCTGTTCTTAGAAAGATAACTCGAATCAAAAACAAACAAACAAACAAACAAAAACATGCACTTCTTTCTTTTATTAGCTTTTTGTCGTAAGGTATAATATCCCTTGTCTGGTATATGTAATTTTTTAATTTTCATTTTTTTCCATCTTGTGTGAAAAATTTTCATAAATGCAGATTTTTTAAAAAAGTTTAGCTGCACATGGAAAAGCCTCAGACATTTAACACTACTCAAAATAAAGGAAAAATTAAAATCGAGAAAAAATCAAAATTCAGAGAATTGTTGTTCCCCGCTTTCGGTGTCTTTGTGGATGAGATGTTACTTATTTATGGCATATTGTGTCAAATATGAATGTCCTGTCATATGTTATTTAAAAGGCACATGTTTCACCAAAGTTTTTTTTTTAAAATTAGGTCAAACATGAAGGTCAAAGTCAAGGTGTCAGAAATCTTAACATGCTCGGAAATATCTTGTCAGATATGTCAGATATGAAAGCCCAGTGTCGTCTCAATTTAAAGTTATTAAAAAAATATATTTGAAATGTAGGTCAAACGTCAAGGTTCAAGGTTAATGGGTAAAAAATCATAGTTTATTTAGAAAGGTCTTGTCACAGGTAAAAAACATGTGAAATGTGAGAACCCTATCTCTTCTCATTCAAAAGTTTTGACCAAGGTCAAAGTTTTTGAAAAGTAAGTCAAACTTCAAAGTCAAGGCCACAGGTCAAAAATTATAGACTAAGTGTATTATCTAAAAATAGAGGAAATCCAACTCATCCCCGGATATCGAAATTGACAACAACATAGCAGAACTTGACATCGGTGTGGAGGAAATAAGTGTAGAGGAAATACAGAAGGCCATCAGAAAGAAGATAGACAACAAAGCTACAGGAGTAGATGACATACCAGCAGAATTACATAAAGTGGACATTAAAGCATTATCAACGTTCCAGACATTTGGACAACCCACATGATACCAACAGATTTGAAAAATGGACTAATTATAAAACTACCAAAAAAGGGAGGTAAATCAGAGTGTAACAACTGGCGTGGAATCCCACTTCTACCCACAATAAGTAAAGTGTATTTTCCAGAGTGTTTTTAGACAAAGTGAAACAAGTCGATGCACAACTGAGAGAGGAGCAAACAGGGTTAAGACCAGGAAGATCATGTTGCGATCAAATTTTTGTATTACGAAATATTATAGAGCAGTCAATAGAATGGCAGTCTTCTCTATACCTTAACTTTGTAGACTTTGAAAAGGCATTTGATGTGTACATCGGGAAAGTTTATGAAAGCTCTTGAGATTGTATGGCCTACCACCGAAGATCATTGACAGCATAGGGTACTGCATGAAGGATTTCAGCGCAGTGTGATGGTTAACAATGCCAAAACAGAGTGTTTTCCAGCAGCATGACTGAAACAGAGCTGTATGCTATCGCCTCTGCTCTTCTTAGTGGCCATAGACTGGGTCATGAGGGAATCCACCAGGGATAAGAAAACGGCATTAAATGGAGAATGGAAAACAAACTGGATGACCTAGATTATGCCGACGACCAATGTTTCATATCATCCACCTATCAGCAAATCCAAGAGAAAACAACCAAACTCTATACAACATCTAGACGTCTAAGCTTAAACATCAATTTTAACAAGACCAAGATACCGTATAAGTGGAAATTTTATCGAGACGCAAATTTAGCGATTTGACCTTAAGAATCTGTATTTTAATTTTAGCGAACACCAAATTTAGCAATTTTATAATGCTCACTTAAGAAGCTATAACAACTATAAGGCAATTAATTTTTAGCGATATTTATTTTTAGCGATCTCAGCACCCTCGCTAATAATGCCAAAATTAAGTCCTCGCTAAAAAATTCAACTTATACGGTAATGAGAATCAATGCACGGAATAACAACCCCGTAAGAGTTAATGGAGAGCGTTTGGAAGATGTAGACACCTTCACATACCGAGGCAGTATTGTAGAAACATCAGGAGGTACTGATGATGACATTACATCAAGAATCAACAAAGACTGTCATGTGTTTGCCATCTTAAAACCAGTTTGGACCTCCTCCTACATGACCATTAGGACAGAGCTTAGGATCTACAATAGTAATGTAAAATCAATACTATTATATGGATCAGAATGCTGGAAGCTCCGGAAAGACCTCGCAAGGAAACTGACAGAGTTTGTAAATCGTTGCTTACGGACCATATTTTAAGATCAGATGGCCAAAAGTAGTGTCCAACAACGAACTCAGAGAGATGTCAGGACAGGAAGACATTATGGTGGAAATCGTAAGAAGAAAGTGGAGATGGGTTGGACAGGTGCTCAGAAAAGACCAACAAAACATTACAGGTGAGAGCATGTTTTGGAAGCGGACGGCAAGAAAAAAAGGGACAGGCCAAAAACATTATGGCGAAGAAAAGCAGGGAAAGAGCTGAAAGAAAAAGGGCTGACGTGGAAGGAAAAAGAAAGAAAAGCAAAGGATAGGACTGTGTGGAGGGACTGTGTGGTTGCCTTATGTGCCACCTGGCATTAACACCGTGTATAGGGGCACGTGTGGGTTTTCGGTTAAGTAACATATGGGGTTTCAACTCCGAAGCGGTGATTTTTTGCATTTGGAAAATATGTTTGTAAAAACCGTTTGCTAAAGAATTCTTCGGGGCCAAATGACATGCGCACGGGTTGTAAGAATGTATTACCTTCCAATTTAGTGCAATAGGCTGGTTGAAAGCGTTGCGGATTGTGCAAACACTTCTGGACAATTCAGTCGATTGGGAAATGTTGTTGTGTCGTTGATATTCTTTGCTCTATGATTTTCAAAAGCGGACCTTTACTTAACCGAAACCCCACACGTACCCCTATACACGGTGATTAAGGGGCCTAAGTAAGTAAGTATTTAGAAAGGTGTTGTCACAGGTAATGCATATCTTTAATATCAATGCCCTATCTCTTATCATTCAAATGAAAAGATATGACCAAGGTTAATTTTTTTGTAACTGACGGACAGACTGACAGACAAACAGACTTACAGGCTGACCAACAGGCAAATGAAATTTCCTTCGTTAAATTCGCGAAAGCGGTTGACAATAATCGATTGAGATTTACTCAGAATGAAATTGCAGATAAGGAAAGGATCTATACCTACAATATTCAAATTCAAACTTGGCTTTATAACACAAACGCTAAATCACTTTGTTAGAAAACTTCGTGTATTAGTGACGTCAATACTAGCTTTAATGACTCGATTTATAATTTAATTAGCTAATTTTCAAACCGCAAGCTAGAAGAGCAACGACGCCATAAATTATGTTCTGACATGTGTGGTTTTAAGTCTAAGACTAATAATCAGCTTTTTTCCTCTCCTATGTGCCCCTTTCTGTCTGTTTGTCTAACTGTCTGTCTGTCTCACGTGATATTCTTACATTTGTCTGCCTATTTGACTTCTACATCATGCAGTTATGCATTCCTTGTCTCTTAAATATATATCATACAGAATGAAAGAAATTCAATGATATTAGTGTTAACAAGTGTACCTGTCTCACGATACTAGTATTAAATAATTTTTTTCTATACAGTGAAAATAATTTTAAAAAGTATAATTCATTGCTTTTCAAGTGTTTTACATTTTTATGTAGCGATTGTGAGAATATGAACGAAACTATCTAGCCTGTTTTCAAAAATCCAATCCAAAAGTTGTTGGACTGCAGGTAGACTTAGCTAGAGGGGCACTTGTAATATTTCCACAAATGTAATACCGGTATACTGACTGTACAGTACTTTGAAAAAAAACCTCTACAAGTCTTTCAGCATCTTTTTTGTCAAAACAGATAAAGAAAGGGGAGATGCTTAAATATTTAAATAATTTTATTCTACATTAAAAAATAAATACATAAGCTATTTACACAGAATAAATACGATTGTCGCCCGTATAAATACGGTAAATTGACCGTGTACTATGTATCAGTCTGTGTTCTTGGACACATCTAATACGTGTACATATAATTATGCAAAAGATATAAGTTTGTGCACACAAATAGTTAAGTAATTTCATCTATTCATACGCTATATATTATTGGCTTAAGATGTCATTTTTAATGAAAAGTTTCCTTTTTAAAATAGTTTCATCTTTTCATTTTTTATATTGTTATCAGCAACCTTCGGAACAGAAGGCGTAACGTCCTTTTTCACAATTTTCGTGAATTCAACTGTCAATGGAGAAGCAGGGTCTACCGATGATGATTTCGATGAAGATGATGGTGATGATGACGAAGATGAAGGTAATGATGTCACTTTAGAGGACGGACTTGTTGGTTGAATCTTTGTTCGTGTTACATTAAGCTTTGGCGATTTTGATAACTTTTTGGTCGGTGATTTTGTCACCGCCTGTTTTGAATTTGATGTCGCTTGACCTTTTCTGCGAGCATCTCTTTCCCTTTTAGAAAGTAAGTTTGATAAATGTGAAGAATGACGAAAATCCCGAGAGGATCCTGTTCGTTGACGAGAGCGTTGGCGTTTTGGATGAGGAGGAAGAGCTACTTTTGTGACCTTTTGTTTAACAATGTGTAAAGCAGTTGTGACTAGAGGTGCTGACTTTGTTGGATATGTACTAGAACTTTTATATCCTTTCTGATCAGGCGTAAGCAATGATGCCGATGATGAAACGATATTTGTCGTAGTGATGAGAAGAGGAGAAGATGTAGTTGCATCTGATGTTGGGACATTTTGTTTGGCAACTAGAACTTCACTTTCAGAAGAACGATCACTAGCATTATACTCAGGAAGATTTCCACTAGAAGTGTGCACTGAAGAGTTTTTCTCCTCAACTGGATGATGCTCATCTGAGTGGACTTTTCGGACAGATTTTTTATTCATGATAATGGCGATGGCCGATTCCAGCTCGTTGATGGATTCGAAGAGATCGACAACGTCACTGGAATCTGTTGTGTTTTCTGTAGAAGGAGTGGTGGTCTCTAAAACACTTTGACTATCAGTAGGAATCGCTGCAGTGGTTGACTCCGGAAGTAGAGGAGGAAGTGTTGGAAGATCAGGGTAATCATAGTCCGTGTGACCCAGCAAGAAATTTTCTTTGTTTAACAGCGATATAAGTCTGGATTGAAGGCTGTTTTCAATGTTCAATAATTTAATCAGGAGAGCTGACTTGGAGGAATTTTTAAGCACGTCACTCTCTGATTTAAGAGTCCCATGTCTGGAAGTGTTGTCCGATATATAAGAATTCTCCTGTGTGTAATTGTCTAGGATTTCAGATTTAGTATATGTGGTATCTTTTAAAAAGGAAATGATATTGGTTTGTACGGAATTCTCAGTTTGAAGTAATGATAGCAACTTCTTCTGCGAGGAAAGATTACCAGAATCAGTTTCGTTTAATTCTGTCGTGTTTTCATGGGTTGCATTCAAAGCAGTGAAGACTGAATCATTCGAAAGTGTCTTTATGGCAGAGTCAATAATGGTCAAAGAAGAAGGAAGAACTAAAGGAACTGCAGCTTCCGTTTCCGGAACGCTTTTTCCAGGAGTATGTAAATATTTTGGAAGGGGGAGAAGCATTTTAGGTTTCTTTCTTCTTGTTTTTGTGTTAGTTTTGATAGATGATTTCAGATTGTCTTCGAAAGTTTTCTTAGTTTCTTCCATGTCTTTATCAAGTAATGAGATAATTGCTGAGTTCAGTATATTATTCTCAATCGTATCATTATACGACGAATTAGTTTCATTAAAACGTATAGTGCTATCATTTGAAGCTGGAGTTGAGGTATTATTTAGATCCAAAAGATTGAATATAGTCTGAAGATCCGCACCCTTTGGTTCATAGGTTTCATTTGTTTGCTCTTCAGGGGGTAAAAATATAGATAAATCAATTTTAGGTGTAAGCTTTGGAGTCTTAAGAAGTGAATGTCCGGGATAAAGAGTAGTTTTTATTTCAGGAACAATAGTAGATGTACCAAGTGTTTGGGGATTTGTCATTTTATTGGGCTTTGGATCGACAGGAGCTATGGATGTGGATTCAGTTCTTGCCGTCGACGTCTGTTGTGGTGCTTTTGTTACATACTCAAAAGGAATCTTTACAGATTCCCCAAGTGGTGCAATGCCTGTTAAAGTTCTTTCCTTAGGAGACACAGTCGTTGCTGTATACTTGTCTTTTTTACGTTGCATCTTTTTTAGCGTTGTTGATTTAGACGACTCTGCATCTTTGGCAGTGACTAATGGTCTAGGTACACACTTGCATTCTGACAAATCAGCACGTTCATTGTCAGCACAATTAACCTTGACCCAACCAAAGAAAAGTATGTGCTTTTCAAGAGCCGAGTTTCCAGCAGATCGACACATGGCACCTGAAAAAAAGGAACTTCATTCAATATCATGTAGAACAACACTTAAACCAATAATACATGAAACACATACCATCAGTGAAATGAAAGACGACAAATATGAGCTTAGTTGATTTTTTCATACCGGAAACGGAAATTGGCATCACGTGCCTTGGTGTGGTTACTGGAGCTGACGTCCTCTCTTTTTTGGCGTTGAGATCAAGAGCAATGGCTGCAAAAATTGTTTATAAAATACATCGTTAAAAGGAAGATATTTTGGTAGGAGAAGAAAGCTTATTCACGAATAATTTAAAATGTGTTTAGGACAGTTGTATAGAATTTCAAGAAAATTTTTACAATTTCTTTATTCTTTTTTATTTTCAAAAATGAAAATGGAAGTTTTATTTTTATTTTAGGCTTTAGAGATTTTGTGTATTCATGGTCTTAAGAAATGGAATCTTTCAATATCATTCCATATTCAATATCATTTCATTTTGAAGGCATTGATATCAACTCACGTAAGCATGATCCCGTAGACAGGTCAGCCGACAATGGCTTTAGTCCATCATATGACGTCAGCACAAAAAACTTCCCATCGTCACTAGCAATGTTCCGGAGCGCATGCAACCTTCTGAAGTTTTTGTTGCCAGTTGTAATAACCAGTAGATCGACATGGTTATCCTTTGCCTCCTGCACATGCGCTATGGTAGCTTTATCGTTCCATGGATTGTCCTTTCCTATTAGCAGTACTGCAATTTTTTTGACGCCTTCTCTACCACCATAGGCAAACACCCTGTTCAGGGCTCGAATACACTGATCTGTATGTTTGCCTTTGTTCACAGGTTTTTCCAGCTTTCTCAAGTTCTCAAGAATATCAAATGAGTAGGATCGGAATTCAGACGTGGTGGAGTTTCCATTTGCACAAACCACGAAACCGACCTGTAATGAGGAAGAAACAAAATCAAAATGTTGTAGGTATGACGACAAAAGTAAATGTCAGTGCTGCATCTTAAGAAGGAGATTGTCTACAATATAAGTTGGGTAAATTAACAAGTAAGGGTAAGTATACACATAAATTTGCATGATGGCAAAAGAACAAACATATAAATTAGTGGACTACAATTTCATAAAATTTTACATTTAGCCTTAAATCATTCATTGCAATAGGGATATAACATACATCTCATATATTCATCAGCAACTTTCTTCGACAAATGTAATTAATTCTAGATAAAATCTTCAAGTCGTGATCTTTTAATATGCAGGCATGTTGAATGACTTCCTCTATCAATAGTTTTATGTGCTGACACTTATAACCGAAAATACCAGATACCTTCTTGTTTCACAGTTTATTAGTATATGTCTATGTATACACAATATGCTGTGAATAACAATTTTTTACTAGCCAATCAGTCTTCACGTGTTAGGTCAGAGTGAGAAATTTTTATTTTAGTTTACGATGAAGGTTATGTTGGCCATCATTAATATGTCATTTTATACCTGGAGAGAGAGAGAGAGAGAGAGAGAGAGAGAGAGAGAGAGAGAGAGAGAGAGAGAGAGAGAGATTCTGTTGCAATGACGCTTTGTAGAAATGAAAATATGATTTGCAAAACGTTCCACATCCCCAAGAAACAAAATTTGTACTCAATAAACATTTGATGGAAATGTTATAGTACTACAGTTTTTTTTATTTAACATGTTATAACCAGCTAAGGCATGTATTTTTTTTTTCTCAGAAGGATGTAAAATTGGATTGCATGTTCACTATTTTGCATAATAGAATGTCGTGTCTGGAAATTTGAATAATACCTTGATGCGTTCTTAAAACTGTTTCTGAATGCTTGAAAATCAGTCTTGTCTATCATGTCACGGAAATCTGCTTAAATTTCATTATTGTGTTTTACGTATGTTAAACAAATGTTAATCAACCCTTTTCGCCAAGTAGGAATCAGGAACTATTTTTTGAAGAAAGACTTCTTAGCTATAAGAAGGATATTTGTACTTATCTTAAATTTAACTGGAAAAATCTAAATACCTAATATATAGATATTTGTTTTCTAGCCTTATTGCAAAAACAATCTTTTTCGTAGGCGTAGAGTTTTTAAATTTTTGGAAACCAACAGCAAACATTTTATTTGAAATGTAATAAAAAAAAAATTACGTGAATTTTTTGTTCGACGTTTAAATCTGGATAATAAATTAAAGCAAAGACAAACCTTTTGGGCTTCTATAAAATTGCGATTAATTTCACTGAAACCCAGGAATAATATTTATGACATGTTTCATTTTATGTATTTCATGATGCATTAAGTTGCTGTGTGACAGATCGGTTTGTTTTGTTGTAGCAGGTGGTAGAAGGGATCAGCGTTTTGTGACAGATGACTTAGGAGGAGTAGGGATACACAAGAAACGCAGTAAAGTGTTGTCTACTATTCGTAAAAAATCAGAACCTTCAAATTAAATTTTATCCCCATAAAGCGCAAAAATCATGATGAAATATTACGACTGCCTCCCAAATATTCAAAGAAAACAAGAGTGGCAACAGCAATCAACAAAAACTGAAGCATTTTAATTATATGAATGAGATTCATTTTTCTTTCAATTATGTTTGTATAAAAAATATTTCTAAGAAAGTACCAATATTAACTCCTGTTAAATAAATTACAGAAGTATATACCTGCACAGCTCCTGCAGGGGATTCATGGTGATCTAAGATGTCCCGGATGAACGCCTTTTGTTTAAAAAAATCCCTGGAGTTCACGCTGGACTGGCCATCAAGCATAAAAACAATATCTACTGTAGGGTTACAATTGGCTGGAATAAAAATAATAATTTATGATAAATACTGATTCTTAGAAATAAAAATATACATATATTTAATAGATTTGTATAGTTTTGTACAAGTAGAAATTAGTGATATCATGTGTATTTAAAACTTTCACAATTTATGAAAAGCAAAATCAAATTTCAAAGTCTTATTTTTGAGGTTTCAGAAAAACAATATCAAGACAAATCTAAATAACTGCATATCATTGTTAAATTTCACCAGGAATTGTTATGAAATTCTACCCTGATTTAGATTAAGATCATTGGGGCCTAAAGATAGAGATAAAAAAAACTTACATTTCTCTTTTGGTAGGGCTGCAGACTGGCAAACCAACAACAGGAAGGCAGAGACGATACAACACAGAGAGGTTAGGATTTTACCGCTGTTCATTTTTCATACCTACAAGTAAATTTAACATAGGGAATAATAGATATATGTACATGTTCTCGATCAGCTACTTTGACAAGAAAATCAATCAAACACTCTGCAAATCACAAAGAGTCAATTCTGCAGTGCTGAACAATCTGTCAGGTAATGTTGTATACTTAATTAAATTAAAATATACCGGTTCTGCGGGGCCTGCAAGGTTAAAATTGTAAAGGATGTGATAATCATTCCATGTAAACGAATTAAAATAGAAAACGAGTTTAATATTATTCATTGATTTTGCTAAATTTGGAGAGACCTTTGATAAATTTGAATAGATTTTTGGTTCGTTAAGGATTCACCATGCACTTAACAAAAAGCAGAATTGAATAATACTCACAAAATAACTTTGATGCTTCTAATTTTTACAATAATATACATTTATTTTTTGTTCATTAACTATTCTAACAATAGAAAGTTCTAATAATTATTTTAACGAAAGAAAGTTTCATGTAATTTATTTAGATTGCATAAATGTCATAAAATAAATGAGAGTTCAGAAAAAAATTAAAAGTGTTTAAATATTTTATTTTGTTTAAACAATGCCAAGAAGGTGGTCAGATGTAAGACCATTACAAATCTTACTATTGATCTACAAATAATTCTCAGACTCTACAAACTTCTGCATAAAGAATATTAAAACATCCTCATGGACTACCCCTTTAAAGCCTTATTGTTCCACGAGAAAGCGTTTCATCATTGATAAATTGACAGAATTAACAGAAAATAGAGCTAAAATCTTTGATCACAAAGAAAAATAGAGCTTGAAACTTTGTTCACAAAGAAAAATAGAGTCTAAATCTTTGTTCAGAACATACCTTGTAAGTTAACGAATAAACAACGCGTCCTACACAACTCTCAATAAAACAGAATTAGAAGCAATTAACGTCCTTGTATAAATAAACGTCCTGAATAACTATCTTTAAATCGTCTCCATGATTTTTCGTAATTAATTCTTCTTACTCTCTCTACTGACTGTCACTAATTTCACGAATAAAATGTCGGCTTATTTAGGACCAAAACATTACCAACACCGACTTAATAAATTCAGCCGATGTCAAGTGTGTCTTAAATTCCAAAGAGGGCAATTAGTAATTCTACCTTTTTTTATATCATATAATTCATCTCCACAAAAAATGAGATAGTTTGAAAAGGATGGCACATTCAAACATGACTATGAAAGAATGAGTGAAACATTTATATATACATGTACATTTAATTTAGTTAAAGACGTAAATAAGAATCTCTTTTGCCAAACAGGATTTTTTTTTCTTTTTATCAATAAATTATAAAACTTTTGCAGAATTCCCATCATATTCGCCAGTAATAAGTTAAGACCTTTTTAAAATTTCTCGATGAGTCCTGGAGATAACCAACCGTAATCAAGCTCAGAAGTTTAAATTAACAATACTCTAATACAATCAGAGCTGAGATCAGATCCCATAGAAGAGTAAGTATCCCCGTTGACCTGTTATACTCGTCTTGTACTTCTTTTCATGATCAGGAAATGGGAAAATCCACAGACAATTTAAAAGTGTGAATAACTTCATTCAGCATTCGACTGAATGATAGATTGCATTTACTGACAATGTCATAATTTCGACCATAGAACTTGAGAAATGATTTAAGCAAGACTGTTGGTATTTTTGTTCCACCAACTAGCTTGTCGATATCTTGCCTTGATTTAGCAAATCGTATAGAATAAGTTCGGAGATATAAACTCCGTTTACAGGTGATGAGGGTATATTGATACATGAATAAGGAATGTTTTAAATAAAAAAAATAATTTATTACGTTTATTGGAGTTAGTTTATAACTAAGGGCTTTTCTAGAAAGATTCCTTATATAAAACGGATGTGTCAGACTTTGTGATGTCTTTTATTACAATTTTACTCGTAAATATATGAAAGTAAGTATCTAATATTAATTGACAATACGTCGTCGATATATCTAAATGACGAGTTGAAGGCCACAAGAAGATTTTTTTCTTGTCTTTTAGATTTTGAATAAATTCTGGTTCATATGAATACAGCTGTACATAAATAGATCTGACCTCAATTGGTACCCATGGTACAAATTTAATGTTACGCATTTTAATAGCTAGAATGATATGAAATGAGAATTTTTCCACGATGCATACATTTGTAGAGGCAAGGTACTTATTTCACCTAAGTGTGTTAATTCAAGAATTGTGCCATTTAAGATAGATGTGTTTTAGATAAAATTATGTGAATAAAAATCATTATCAGAAGTCATTGACAAAAAATTATGAAGATTTTGTTCGAGTAAGATGCAACCCATTCATATTTTCTATTTTTGGTTGGCTATAATGAACCACATACTTAAAAAATATTCACTGAATAAAAAAACCTCACGACTAATTAAGTGACTAATTAAAGACATGCAACATAAATCAACGATTTACCCACTTAAGAATAAAAAGATTTATTAAACCAAAGTGTAACCCCGTTCGTTGATGATAGAATTCGAATTTATCTTTTGAAGAACGGTTTATATAGGAGGAACCCAGAACTCTGCTAAAATTATATTCTTACAGAAAAAACAAACAAACTGGTATTCTATAAACATGTAACAGGTTTAAAATTATTTTCTTTTTATATTTTTTAAAACTTGAAATTGAGATTTTTTCAAAACTTTTTTTTTTGAAAATGAAATGCTTCACTCCGTCTTGGTATTTCAAAAACTTTACAAACTTTCACAATTTGCCTGAAAATAGCAGAATGCGACATGAGTTGGGAATATGTAAAACTTATAAGCATGTAAAAGAAAGCTGCATGATAAATTAAAATATGATATTTTATCTCCATTAGAAATAAATAAGAACACCTTCCAAAAAGAACAAAGAGATGAAAAGTACTACAATAGGGCCGATAAGTGTAAAATCAAATTTTTTATAGAATCAAAATTTACCTCATTTGTATAAAAGGTGGTAAAGATACTTTTTTTTAAATTCCTTCAGGCACATTTCACACTAATGAAATCCACAATCGAGGAAATAGAAGGAGCTGACAAGTTCAATGCGACCACTACATGAGTTTTGTATGTTACAACCAGAGAACAAGGATGTTTTATAGTAACTTTGACAGCTGTGAATCATCAACTTATTATTTAAATATAGCGATTGTCTAAGATAAAATAAATTCAAATGATTGAATCTTTTGTTTTCATGATTATAGAGACTAAAAATATCGAGTGTTTTTTTTTAAAGACATTCCTAACTTTATAGTTACTTTTCGAAATTTATTGAATAAGTGCCATAAGTGCTACAAGGAATATCTTCACATTTGAAATCATTTTTTACGGAATCTTTTCATCACAACATGCAGGAAATAAAAGTGTAATTATTGAAAAACTTTAATTTCTGTTAGATTTTTTTTATATCTGCCAAATTGAAGCCCCTATCTCAAATAAATAGGTAAAGTGAAAACTGATATGAATTTTTTCCTACAGTACAATATCTTTGCAGTTGCAGTCTAGTATTAGGTCGAATTTACAGACATTTAATACAAATTTTGCACCCTAAATTGTACGTATTATTTCCTGACATTTATTATTAATGGTGATTTCCAATCTTACGTCGATACTATATATCCCGGTGAGATTGAGATAAAAGATACCATAGAGTCTGACACATCTGTTTCATATTTGAATATTTTACTTGAAGAAGACGTTAATGGTAATCAAACAACCTGGCTCTATGATAAACATAATGACTTTAACTTTTCAATTGTCAACTTCCCTTATTATGCAGCAATATGCCTTTATCACCTGCAAACAGGATTTATACATCTCAGATGATCCGACACACAAGAGAATACTGTGCGTATGAACAATATCTAAAATGAAGTATGTTATTGACAAACAAGTTGATGAAGCAAAAATATTAGTAGTCTCGTTTAAAATCATCATTTTGTAAGTTCTAGTGTCGATACAATAATGACTAATTGGCTATTATTTACAACCTGAATTGACGATGGATTTTTTTCATTATTTCCCGATCATGACAAGGAGCACAAGGCGATAGTGATCGAGCGGCAGGGGATGCTCACTCCTCCTTGGCACCTGATCCCACCTCTGATGTTTTGGATGCCTGTGTTTCCTCTGCTCCTATTTTATATTATTGCTTTATGGACTTTTCATCTTGAATAGTGTTCTTTAACTCCTTATATTTCATTCCTTTACCACATAATGAGAAAGGTCACGTCGCATATCGGACAGGTAGCTAGTAGGGGATTCTGCTTTCTGTAATCCACCTTTTTGTTTTCTAGAATCTCTGTTCTGCTAAGTATTTATTATGTTTAATAAATCTTTTCAGTTTGATTACTGGTCCATATTTTTACATATCAATACATGTACAAGAATACACTTTTTTTAAAAAACTTTTAATTTTTTTTGTACAAAACAATTAGTTCCATATTTTTCGGATGGGCTATTCATACAGACATGTCATTAATAAACTAAGGTATCTTAAATTCCTGTGGATTATTTGCACATATTTTAGCAAAGACTAAACAATGAAACTCATGTTTAAAACCTTACCCAAAACTACATTCTTGACCCAAATTTCAAAAAGCAATGTTGAGATTTCTTAAAAATGTTGTTAATTTTCTTCATGGCCACACCACCATTAATTTATGTACAATGTAATTGATTTCCTTAAGAAAATTCTTACAATTGTTGACAGAGTATTTTATGGTCTTCCTCTTATTGACGAGTGTTTATTATAGATATATAAATGAGATAGGAAATTAAACCCAATAACTATTTGTATTGGAACGGAATGTCTTCTCCTCCTAGGTACCTTATCCCAATTTTGGTGTTTCCAGGTTTTTTCTTTTCTTTTTTTCTTAATCAAATATTTCATTGGTCACAGTTTCTTATATTATTTTTCTTCCAACTTAATTTAGTTTTAAACAAAAATCCTTATTGTTAATACTGAATTAAATTGAAAAATCAGAAATAGCCGTACAGTATTAATTTGTTTTCAAATATTAACGTCAAAAAGTATTAAAAAATACAAATTATTCATTCCGTTAATATATATAGAATTTTTTTCCCCTTTTCCCAAATTGAATGAAAGACAATGTGAGAACACTTTCAATGAAAATATTATTGCTTTTGGTCTAGATTGTACAAGACAATTAACTATACTCCTAATATGCAAACATTACTTGTTTAAAATCACTTACCTGAAAATATCTTAATTTGTATGATGCCATGATATCCAATTCTGCTTATTTAACCACATAACATTGCTAAAACTTCAGCAACGTCTGTCTACTAAATAGTCTCTCCTCTCTGAACTTGAATGAATGGAATATGTAATTAGTTCATGTGATTAAAATCTGAACCAGTGCACAGTCATTATTACAAACGGACACTTATGAAGAAAGTTTCAAAATACTTTTTTCCCAGGTACTTGACTAAATACCTGTTAAGTTTATGTGTATCACTGTATAATTTGTTGTTTGACCCCATTCATGTAATTTACAGCTATGCATTTATCATCTCCTCTGCACCACAACGCATAATTAATTAAACCAAGACACAAGGACTAGCTTATTTTCTTGTAGTATTAAGTATTCTTATCAATCAAAAACAATTCAGAAATTATAAAATTATATTGCTTAATAAGAAAGATTTATGTTAATTAAATACAGTTTCATCTACTTTGTTTATTTCATGTTGAAATAACTGATAAGAAGCACTTTCCTCATTGAAGGTCTTCAAAGAAAAGAATCTATATTCTGATTCATGTTTATTGCTTCACGGAAAATGAAATATATATCATTAAATCATATACTGTTCGTTATCTCCATATGTTTCATTTTAGAAATTTAAAATTGTATTGCCATCAGAATTTGATAAAAAAACCTGAGGTTTCTGATGGATTGAGCATAAAATAATTATATGGAGATAACGAACTGTATTCATGCTTAGCAGTTCTTTAAATAATACAAATTTGGAGCAGAGCAAGCACGGACCTCCACAACATCAGAGGTGGGATCAGGTGCCATGGAGGAGTGGACATCCACTGCCGACCGGTCACATCCGCCGTGTGCGCCTTGCGATCGGAAAATAACGAATAAATCCGTCGACAAATCATTTTGTAAATAATGTCCTTACAATTAGTATGAAAAACGTCAGTCATCGATTGACTTATTGATAGATTGTATTTGCTGAAATGGTCACTGTATCGACCATAGAACTTAGGAAATGATGACTTAAAACGAGACTGCTTTTGCTTCATCAACTTCTTTGTCAATAACATACTTCATTTTAGCTATGGTTCTTGCATACAGTATGCTCTTGCATATCGAATCGGTCAAGAGATATACGCCCCAAATGTAGGTGATGAAGGTATATTGCGGCATAAATAAGGGAAGATGACGATTGAAACGTTAAAAGCAGCACTTTTATAATAAAACTTGATTGTTAGATACCATTAATGTCTTTGCAAGAAAGATATTCAAATATGAAACATATGGGTCAAACTCTGTGGTTTCTGTTATTTTAAACTCACCGGGATACTGTAAAATCATTTGAATTCGTGGGGGGCCAATTTTCGTTGGTAAGCAAAATTTAACCTGTTTGTGGGGACGTAATTTCGTGGGTTACTCGTAAATAGGATGCTTCAATGAATCAATATGTTAACAAATTAAACGTTCCTGGGGATGTTAATTCGTGGGTATGGGTGGCCCACGAAATCCACAAACATTGATCCCCTATGAACATTGATGATTCTACAGTATTTCGTATGGACATAAGAAAGAAAACGACATAAGAATGAAAATAGTCATTGTTATTTGACAATACATCTTCTATTTATCTAATTGTCGAGTTGCAAGCTACAGAAAGGGTATTCTTCTTTTCACGTATAGATAATTGACAAATTCTGCTTCAAATGAATACAAAAGTATGTCCACTAACAACGAATGGTGGAAGACCCGGTCTTAAAAAAAAAAAACAACACACACATAGATATCGTCAGTCAGAAACTCAAGCATCCTTTTAATTTTAACTTCAGTGTACTTGTGTATATAATTAGAATAATTTTAGCAACATAATTTAGCAAAATTACCAATGTTTAGGAAATTTACGAGTTCCATTTTTATTGAAAAAGCATTTGTCAATGATATCAAAAAGCCTGGACTTTAATTTATAGTGGGGAATGGTTGTATATGTTATGTTTTACTAATTAATTAAAATTTTGATTAATAAAAGTAACAACGAGAGACTACATTTACAATTTAGGTGTATCGATGATTAGAATTTGCGAAATGCTGACCCCAAACGAGAATTAAGATGATATTGTATCACCAGTCTGTTCGTTATAATTAGTAGCCTATAGCGTTCAAGAAACTGTGAGAAATACACCTCATATACATGTATGCATGTTTCTCAGTGAATGTTTTTATTTGGCGATGGAGGATGATGAAATGAAAAGTATTTCTTTGTATAAACTTGGTGTACACATGTTAAAAAAAATACTGAGGTATGCTTAATTGCAAAGACATTAAATTGGTTTAAATATCTATAGCATCTACATGTATTTTATTCTATTTTTTACAAAGTAATTAAGGTAAATAAACGTCAATAAAAACTGAATTGAATTTTTTTTTATATTTGAACCAGCAATATCTTCTCAAAATTTATTAACAAACTTAAACGTACATAATTATGCAAAAAATCACGATAGGTTAAACATTAATGACTTTTGAAGACATTCTTTAAATATCAATTATTTTAGTTTAACTAGATACAAAATATTTTGAAAATCTTTGTTAAAATTCGGGACACATGCAAAACGTTTTGCGCCAAAGAGCTTAGAAACCGGAAGAATCGGTTCCAAATTCTTTTTTTAAATATTATAATAAAGGTTATTGGATATGCAGATATAACACTAAATCTTTGATCTTTGCTTTATGTGAAACTATTCTATAAACGTGTTGATTAATGAAGTCTGCCATATTTCAGATGAATAGTAAATTGACAGGTGAAATCTATTGCAGCAGATAAGGTTCCGTTCCATATCATGTGTCCTTTTGACAAGGGCATTTTAAAAAAGAATGATTTACCTCAATTGAACACTTACACTGCACATTTATTTCAGCGCAGTTAATATATTAACTTTGAAAATAATAAAAGTTACCCATTTCTTGTTTGTGGTAAATAATTATTTTAATTTGTTTAGAAAATGCTAAAGATTTAAATAAAACATGCGCAGAAATTTATAAAAATTATTACATAATTAAATAACTATATTCGTTCACCTTTCTCACAATTTGACCATTTTTGCATGACGAAAAAAATATATATATATCATTTTTGTAGCCTTTTTTCCTTCCGAGTTTAAAGTTTTCTGATCTCCTTGAATTCATCTTCATTTTTATGCTGCTATTTTGTCTTATTTGCAATTCAAAATAAATTTATTTTTATATTAAAGGTGTAATGAAAAACGCACACATAAGAGTGTCTCAAAACTCAAAAGTTAACACATATTGCACATGAGACTTAGACATAAGATTTTGGACAAATATTGCTTCTTATGAATACAAATATAGGTCTGATAACAATGGGGTGCTCTTGGGAATTCCCATACACTATTGGAAGCCCTGGTCTCCAAAAACCACATAGTTACATATATATTGTCAATCAGAAACTCAAGCATCTTTTAATGTCAACTTCAGAGTACTTGTGTGTACAATCAGAATGTTTTTTAACCAAATAATTTTGCAAATGACAATTGACAGGGTAAATCAATTAACGTATTATATTTTTACTTTTCAAGCTTTTACTGTAAAAAGTAAAATTCCACTATATCCGTTATATGGTATTTTACGTATCTCGACTTACTGGACACTCAAGAGCATCGTTTCTAAAATCAAGGCAGAGTACTGACAGTGAATGTGATCCCCCATCTGGAACTTCCGGAGTCTCTGACTTATGACACTATTCGCAGATTTTTGTTGTTTGTAGAATTTCTTTTGATTGACCACTGCTTAATATGTTGACGGTGCGACCATTAGAGCGCAAAAGTTAATGAAGAACTCTTCTTTTGTTTAATATATATCCATTAAATCAAGGCTCATTTTGTTGAACACCGCACGTGACATTTGATGCGTGGGTCTAAACGCTGACGTCACATGACGTCGTATGTAAGTTACAATATCAGGAAAAAGCCTGAACAGTGCTGAAAGTTAATGAAGAACGTTTCTTTACTATTTATCTTCAATATATATCCATTAAATCAAGGCGAGTAAACTTCCGTTGAACATTTGCCGTTATTCTCGCGAGAACGTAGCTAAAATAAGTGATGCATTGTGGGTCCAAATTACTGCGTCAAAAAATTCTGTCGAATGAATCTGCAATAGTCCGAATTTTCTCTTCGCCCAGGCGCTGCTTTAAGAGCTCGCTATTAGCTTCATTTTCAAAGATTTGACAAAAATTTGTATCTTTTTTTCATCATCAAATCAGAAATGTTTATGAAATTTCCTGTATTTAAAGATATGAACTATAGCCCATCTTTATCAAACGATGTTGTAGCCTATTTATTCTATTTTTCATTTAAAATACACATAAAATATGAATCTCTTTATTCTTACCAAACATTAAATACATATATTTACATGCGTATACCCACAATTACTCGCATAGATATATAAAAAAGAGTATTATATGTAATAAATTATAAGTTAAACATTTGCAACGAAATACTAGTAAACTTTCATTTTCTGTTATTTAACCAGTCATAGGCCTTCGGATTAATATAATCACAATTTGCTGACAACTTCGTCGTTTTCGGCACATCAGCATGAAGGCCTTGTCTTTCTTCTAGCTTATTGTTGTCAGGGTCACACAAGTATACATAAATCTGCAATTAAAATGTTAATTCTAATGAGAAAAGTCACTAACATATATACATGTTCAATATGTGGTTTATTTTATTTGAATTCTCAGAAGTGCATTGTGAACTCCTTATCAATTTTAGCAATCTTAATCCTGCATAGGATTAAATTAACTGAAGTTCTACACCTCATTTCAACATTATGTAAACATAACCAAAAAATATACAAAAATCTTTCGCATGATTTGAATTTGTATAACAATCATGCACTTTTCTTCACAATCCCAGATTTTTGTTGGTTTGTTGTCTAAAAAAACAGTGAAATTTTTATTTGGGACAATGTATATAACTATATTCAAACAACTGACCTCGTCCATATAACCTTTAAAGTTCCGGAAACCGGTACCGCTACCTATGTGGAGTCCACTACCTGTAGTTAGTCCAAATGCTCCTGCAAATGAGGAAAATTGAAAAAAAAGTCGTTACAAGATTCCAAAATTTACAGTAAACATTAAATATAACACATAATTCGTGAATAGATTAGTAACTATAAAAAATACACTGAAAGACAAAAAAAAATGTTTTTTTAAGTCTTGAGAGCATCCATATGTCTTTTTGAGAGATATTTAAACTCCACAAAATTACAGTTATGCCGTAAAATCTCTCTTGTTTCTTAGCAAAAATAAGCTTGAATAAAAAATGTTATTCTAATTTTGTCTATTTATTTACTCACAAAACATACCTCAATTTGTGCATTTGATTGTAACCTTTTTTCATTACTAAGAAGACAGATGTTGAAGTTGACGAGGACGTGTTTTCAAATTGAAAAGCTCTTTAAGAATTTAACATTTAATTAGGAAAAGCTGGAACGAACTTTAAAAAAAATCAAACAAACCTTTTAAATATACTTTATCCTTTTTTATTCCATCACTTGTCACTTGCATGATGCCGTCTTTTATTTTCAAAGAGATGGTTTTCCATTTTCTTATCTTCTGAAAAATGAAAAATACATAAGCTACATTAAATATACATGATAAATTCAAGGTCGTTGCTTTCCTTTTACTTTTACAGATGCATTCTCTATTCCACCTTTTTTGTCTTTTAAAATAGTATCTTTTACCTCTTTCTTTTTATTATTCACACTTCCATTTTTCTTTCTTTTATCTTCCCTGTCATTGCTTTTTCTTAAGTCATCTGTCTCCGTACTCTTTGCACCTGGACTTTTCTCATTTGTGAGAGAATGCGTTACAAAATCACCAGAAATTATTCCTTTTGGTAAATTACTACCTTTCACACTCAAAATATCTTCAGTTTCAATGTTATCAACTGTCTTGGATACATTACTTAAACTTTCGCTGACTTCGTTGCTGTTTCCTTGCTTCTTATCAGTCGATATGTCTGGAAATTGCTTGTCAACTGGTGGTACCTCCTTAGTATCGTCTACGTTGTCACCCTCTCTATTTGTGACCGATGGTACATCCTTAGTATCGTCTACGTTGTCACCCTCTCTATTTGTGACCAGTGGTACCTCCTTAGCATCGTCTACGTTGTCACCCTCTCTATTTGTGATCGATGGTACCTCCTTAGTATCGTCAACGTTGTCACCCTCTCTACTTGTGACCGATGGTACCTCCTCAGTATCGTCTACGTTGTCACCCTCTCTATTTGTGACCGATAATACATCCTTAGTATCGTCTACGTTGGCATTCTCTCTAATAGTGACCGGTGGTACCTCCTCAGTATCGTCTACGTTGTCACTTTCTCTATTTGTGACCGATGGTACCTCCTTAGTATCGTCTACGTTGCCATCCTCTCTAGTTGTGACAGGTGGTACCTCCTTAGTATCGTCTACGTTGTCACCCTCTCTATTTGTGACCGATGGTACCTCCTTAGTATCGTCTGCGTTGTCATCCTCTCTACTTGTGACTGATGGTACCTCCTTAGTATCGTCTACGTTGTCATCCTCTCTAGTTATGACCGGTGGTACCTCCTTAGTATCGTCTACGTTGTCATCCTCTCTATTTGTGACCGGTGGTACCTCCTTAATATCGTCTACGTTGTCATCCTCTCTAGTTGTGACCGGCGGTACCTCATTAGTATCGTCTACGTTGTCATTCTCTCTAGTTATGACCGGTCTATCGTCTACGTTGTCATTCTCTCTCTGACCGTGTGACCGATAGCACCTCCTTAGTACCGTTAAGGTTGTCGCCCTCTATAGTTTTGACATGTGTTAAGTTGTTTATCTCAGCAATAAGACCAGTATCTTCATTCACGACTTCATAATGAACCTCAGTGCTTTCATTTATTTCTGTATCTTTCTCACTAATTTCTTCAGTTTTTAGGCTTTCTCTCGATTCAACTTCATCTCCAATATTGTCTTCATCAGGTTCAATATTAACTACTCTAGTTTTGAATGTGGATGCCTTTGTAAGAATGTCTTTTGGAATATCAACATTATTTGAGAGTACATCGTCGGCTTCAGGGGAAGTTATTGATGATTTGTCATCTGTTTCTTGAAGTTCAGTTGATAATACATCATCTTGACCCAGAGAATTATTTAAAAGGATATTATCAGGTTGTACAAGTTTCTTTGATATCAAGTCTTTTTCCAAAGCATTTTCTGATGATGTGTCTTCTATTACAAGAGTATTATCTAGTAAAACATCATCTGGTTGTAAAGAATTATTCGATAATATAACATCTGAATCAGAAACCTTGTTTGCAGTTGTTTCATATTGTTCGAGGGCATTATTAGAAGAAATTTCACCTGGTCCAAGGGTTATAACTATAGGTATATCGTCTGTTTCAGGGGCATTATTTGATGATGCATCTGCTTGATTTGAAGTTTTGTCGTCTGGTTGTAGAGAAGCGTTTGACGACATATCGTCTTCTTCTTGTCCATTGATTAAGAATGTGTTTTCAGATTCTTGTGCAATGATTATGCTTCCATCTACAGTATTGTCATTTTGATTAATTTGTGCATTATTGTTTAAAACGACTCCTTTAATATCATTAATGATTCTTGTTATTCCATTAGATTCTCCATTGGTAAAAATAAGATCGTAATTAGAATTATCTACGTCCTTTTCATTCAGTAGGTCTAAATTTGAATCAGTATTTTCGATCGTATTTGCAACATTTACGTACGTGGTGTTGGTCACGCTAATTTTTCCATTTAATTCGTTTTCATCAATGTTCATCGTATTTTCATTTTCATTGTTTTTGGTGTCATCGATCTTTAATGGAACATTTGTTGTTGGAATTTCAATATCTATAATATCATCAGGTGAGCCAAGAATTATATCATAAAGAGTGATTTTCTTTAAAAGGTCAGAAATTTCAGTATCATTTTGATTTATTTTAAATCCAACATCCATATGTAACAAACTGTCTGGTAATTTTACTTCATATGAACCTTTCTTAGTTGTTGCAGCAGTTTCATTCCGATCTGCATTTAACTCTCGTTGAATTATGTCATCTGTATCTAAGGAGTTAACGTTATCCTCGACCTCTGATGTTTCGACCTTCAAATCCAAATTGTTTTCAACATCATCATCAAAAGAATCTACATTGTTACTTTCATCTACGGCTCTTTTCCTTCTTGAGACTATAGTTGGGTTTTCATTATATCTGTTAACACTGAAAGAAGTAAAAGATCCCGTAGAAGTGATAGAAATGGACGGTTGCTCACAGCTACTTCCATAACAATTTCCATTTGAAATTAGGGCATACGCATTTTTGTCATCACCATTATCATCATCATCATCGTGATTTGAATCAGCCTCTCTATCCTTTCCTTCATCCTCCTCATCAGCTAAATATCTGATAAAATAAAAACTTAAATGAATTTTGCCTTTTCACTTAAGGATATACATACCACAAACAAATTTTCTTATCTTCCATGCATACAGGAGAATTATAATGCGAATTTTTCAAAAAAAATTTCAGTTAAAATCTAATCATGGACTTCTTATCGTATATGATGTAGAATAAATATACTCTTGAACATGTTCCCAGAAAACTTTCCAGTAACAAAGCATTATAGATTTCCTGAACTGTTCAGAAAAATTTAAACTTTTACAGTTAAAATTTCCCTACTTAAAAAGAATTACTAGTAAGGGATTTGGCCAAGTACTTTCAACTAAACTATATTGGGACGCACATATATAAAAAGCGATAATTCATTTTTGGATGAAAAAAAGTAGTTTCCTTTATTTGTCCTTAATTTAGCATTCCTTAAAAACAGTAAAAGTAAAAAGCGCAATAACTCGAATTGAAAACAAAAAACTTACTTGAGCTTTATGACCACCGTAAATCCATAATCCAAGCCAGCAAAACGTGGTATGAAAAGAGAGGAGTTCCCATCAAAATATGCCTTCCCATCATGCACCCAGACCTGACCATGGCTCCCAACGTAAGTTTCTTTTCCAGAAAAATCTTTAATCCCATCACAAAATGGCAGGTACAATTCAGGACTACATGATTCGGAGTCTGTAATTCATATATCATATAAATCTACAAATTCTCTCATCAGATGTAAAATGTTCTTGATTATATTTTTGCAATATTTTATATTTTGTTCCGCAAAGTTGTGATCAGAAGCAAATTCAAACGTGTTTTCCTTTTTTAACTAGGTATTCTTGATCGTTAAAACTTGGTGTAAATTTGAATTTGAACCAAATAAAAGGTCAATTGATATTACCCGTATGCATGTCACTTTTCTGAACTATTGTTGTGTCTGAAGTTGTTGAAATGGAATGCCTAGTGTTTTTTAATTCTAGTTAATTCTATTTTAGTCAATAGTAAAAAATAAATACACCCTGTTTTTACATTGAATATAATATACATGTATATTTAAATGTAATAAATAAAAGAAATTATCTTTTATTTTGTTATTCCAAGTGTTTTCCTTTTTATATAAAAGTTATTGATACTAAAAAAAAATTGTTTGATATTCTTGATCGTTAAAACTTGGTGTAAATTTGAATTTGAACCAAATGAAAGGTCAATTGATAATACCCTTATGCATGTCAATTTTCCGAACTATTGTTGTGTCTGATTGGCGAGGAAATTGGACATTGATATGGAATGCCCAGTGTTTTTTTTAATTCTAGTTAATTCTATTTTAGTCAATAGTAAAAAATAAATTCACCCTGTTTTTACATTGAATATAATATACATGTATATTTAAATGTAATAAATAAAAGAAATTTTCTTTTATTTTGTTATTCCAAGGCAACCATAAAAGTTATTTATAAAATAATATTGCTTAATAACAGTAGTTGAAATTTTCATTTTTATACTGGTTTTGCATGGTTACACTGTGTTAATGGCAACCATAAAAGTTATTTATAAAATAATATTGCAATATGGGATATGGATAATTCAAAACAGTTTCTTTACAGAATCCGCCATTTATGCAAATTATCCCATGCTTTCACTGTTAATACCTAGGCATACCAAACAAACTAAACTTTGATTCCTTTAATATCAACTTAAATCATTTAAGATTTTTGTTTAATTTTTTCTTGGGGGGGGGAGCTAAATGATACTTAAAATTTGCTCATGTTTCCATTGTAAATGTTTCATTTATTTAACAAATTAATTCCATATATAAAATGTCTGACATCATTACCTTTAATGTTCCCCTTACCTTTTCTCTGTCGTGCTCTGTATTGAGAAACACTAAATCTGGCGCATCCACAGTCGTCTTCACTAAACACTGTCCCTTCAGCACATTTGAATTCCTTCCAAATCCCTTCAAGGGTTTTCTGTTGGAACTTGTTTGGAACACCTGGTATTGCTTTTAAATCGCATGAAGTTTTTGTCCCTGAATTATCATGATATAACTTATAAGTCAGACTGGTTCATCTTAAGTAAAATTCAGAGAAAATACAAGCGCGAAATATACATGTGTATGTGATAACTGTTGATAGGAAATCAAGACAAGCATGATATTTTAATGCTAATAATACTATTATTCTTACTGGTAAAGAAAGAAATACCTTTCCCTCCAATTTCGGAGGAAGGACATTTAGATGTACATGAGGGGTCCAAGACACACCAAGCATCCTCCCGATATGACATTTTAGATGGACAACATTTGGGGACAGATTTTCCATCGTCACAATACCAGTAAGCGCTACATCCCATTCCAAAATAGGTGTAAGATGATCGAGTTTTATTTCTGCAGGGATCTATAAAAACATGAATCACGTTGTTTAGTTCATGCAGATAAAATGGTGGTATTACAAGGTTGAACATTCTCATCTTTTAGACAAGGTACACATTACTAGCTAGCAATTACTTGTGACTTAAACTTTATACAGATATTTTTAAATGAGATAAGTAATCAAAAATTAATTTAAAAGTATTTAATTGAATATGTAAAACATTACCATTAGGTAGATTCAACCGTGAAAACTGAATACAAGTAACATCAGATGAGCTCCAATACTGGCCAAAAGGACAGGTTTTGTACGACACCTTCATACTTAAACCCAGTCCTTTGTAACACATTGCAAACCTTCCTATATCGCCCTTCACTGGGGCATAGCCAACATCATGCACCCATGTTGCTTCTTCGCAAATATCTGAAATATGGAAGATAGAAAAAAAAGGAAAAGTCAATTCAGTTCCTTCAGAAAACAATTTTGGTTACATTATATGCTGTTGAAAGAGGATTGCAGTATTTTTTTTTTATTTTGAATTAAATATTTAAGGTCAACATGCCTAAGTTTTCACTTGAGTCTTCGTCATTTTCAGATGATTCTTGTTCTTCCTGTGTTTTCGTTCTTTCATTGGCGGATTTTGGTAGAGGAGGTTTTCGTGTTGGCTTTGTTGCTAAAATTGCTGGATAGAAACAAAAACAATTTTTCACATCACTCATAAAATAAAGTTTTAAAGTACTATCGTTTCCTTATTCTTATTTGAAAATTAAAATATTTAAAGAACTTATTTTAATTTTCAAATAAAAATCAGTAAACGACAGTACCAATGGAATTAGCTAGATTTTTTTTGGAAGGTTTGTTTGTGAGCTTGAAAGTTCTTTCTATATCAAGATTTGTGATAGGCAAAATACTACATGTATTTATAAAATTTTAATTTTTTACTTATGCTGAAATTCAAGAGTACCTTCGCAAATGTAGTTGGGAATTTGTCTGATAGCATTGGATAACGCTTCAATGGTTTCAAATCTGTAAGCCTGTTCCTTTGTCCAAGCTAAATCAGCAAAATTATCAGATCCGATCCCGATCGAAATAATCCTGATATTCTGCTCTCTCATGTCATCAGCCACCTCACGAATTTCTTTCTGCATTTTCTTGGTCACGTTTTTATAAAGTAGAATAGCGACCTGTGGTACGGCATATCTTTTGTTGTTTGCCAGAAGACTCTGTGCTTTTTCTAGCCCAGTCAAAGGTTTGCTCGATCCACCTATTTTCTGTAGATTCATTACAGATCTCCCCATCAACAAACGGTTTCCTGAGAGAGGGATCACTGTTCCAACTTTTGAACCGTACGTCACCACACTCAGCCTCGTTTCAGATTCATCTATTGACATGCCTCTGAGGAGAAGCATAACTAATCTTTTTAAAATCTGGAAATGTGGCAAAGTGACGTCATCAGACCCAGGTAGTACAAATACAACATCAACCAAGTCACAGTCTGTAAATAATAAGTTTAAATGAAATAAAATGAAACTTTAGAAATTCATTAAATTTTCGGTGTAGGTGAGTACAAAAATTATACACTACACTTAATTCAAGGTTTATTTTCTATGTTAATAGGAATTTAAATGAATTTAATTTATGTTAATGAATTAGTTGTGTAATAATGTAATAAAAATATGTATATTTCTGCGATTCTCCAGTTCGTATTTTTTAATAACTTAATGATAAATGATAATACAGTCAACTTCTCTGCATTATGTCAAATTATACATGATGTACATTTTGTATTAATAAATGCAATTAAATAAACATGCTAGTGTTCTTTGTCGGTTTAGAATTTATTAAGGAAGTAATTTCGAAGTAGTACGTACACTGAGTATCATCGTATGAAAAAAATCCCCCTCGAGATCGCAACTTTACAATGCTAGTGAGTGCAACGCATGCTTAATCTGTTACTGTCCAGTAATCTATTTACTAAGTGGAAAACAAAACCACATAAGCTTTATTATAATTGCTAAAAATCAGAACTACTACATTAGTTGTCACAATTTAACCTTTTATGTTCATTTTATTAAGTTAACATTTAGTGAAAACGTTTACACAGTGAAAAAATACATATAATACATAGGCTCCTCACCACCCCCTTGCAGCGTCATGAATAATTACTATTTGTCTTGATAATACATTATAAAAAAATCCAATCCTAATTATTCTCCACTTTTTATTAATCTTTTATGAATTAATCACAAAACATTATGTTAAATTGTTGACTTTTACTGAAATATCATGATTATAAGAAAAGGGAGTGGAGCGATCCCTAAGCAAACAAGGATAATTAGGCAGACAAATGGAGACATAAACTATTTCTAATAAAAGTAATATTTATCTAGTCAACCACATCTGTTTCATTTTTAGTCATTTAATGACGAAAATGACAAATTATAACTAAACTGTTTGACAATTGGGATGACTTCAGATTTTCCATTGTCAACTTTCATTATTCCACAATTCACTACTAGATAGTACTTATGGTGATGGTGTTTGTGTCTTCCAACTGATTTGATATGCAAAAGCGTACTGAATACGATTAATTTTTAAATCGGATCAAGCATCAAACTAAAAAATTAATATTAATATGATTTTAACTGTTTAACAATTTAAGTCAGCTTTTTGCATGTATGACATGGTCGTTGATATGTTTGTAAACCAATCCCATCGTTGGGTCATATTTTCCTGAAATGTTTCAACTCAATTGTTTGTCCATTGTCGCCTCTTTATACACAACCGAGTATGTTTTCTATCCGATGAATAAAAAGAGTTCATTTCAGCGTGGCTAGTTGTAAGGGGATGCTTACTCCTCCTAGGCACCTGACCCTATTTCTCATCTTTCAAAGGGGCCGTGTTTTTGCTCATTTGATTTGTAAGATTTATAACTGTTTGTTAGTTTTACATTTTACATCTCTTGCAACTTCTCTGATAATTGAATACTTTATTCGGTATTTATTTATTGATCTCTGAAGAATATTGTGTACAAATATCTGGTGAAACGTATTCCACTTAGACAATTACCTTGAATTGGAAATGTCTGCAGAGTGCAATACTGTAAAGTTGTCATAAAAATAAGCAGCACTGAAAATGTGTAGCCCATCTGTAAAGAAAAATAAACTATGATGTTATAATTTTTGCTAGACAGTTCATATTAATTGGCATAAACAAATCTATAATTCCCCTCCAATATTTTCAAAGATTTATTAATATTCTGATATATTGGTAAAAAAAATGATTAACATGTTTTTAAATCTTAACCACATTTAGCATTTACACAATCAACCGAAAAAATATTCGTGCAAATGTACGATCATCTGCATTGGAGAAGTAGCTCTTAAATAGATGCATACATTTGAATATTATCTAAATCCAAATCAGAACAAAAAACAAATAGAAAATTCGAAATGCCTAAAAAAAATTAAAGAAAGTTTGAGTTACTAAAAATTTGTTGAAGAAAATTTAAAATCTTGATTTACATATTTAAACATCAATGTCCTTTAAAATCACATAGGTTAATCTAATAGAGGATAAGAATATCAAATTATATTGGTAAGAATATACTGACCATTGCAGTTTTTGGCCTCTTCCTTGAAATGACAAGAGTTGTACCTTACAAGAAATCATCCGTCGTGCACTAGATTAATTAGTAAACTGTAGCTGAAATGAAAATTTTCATAATCGGACATCTCGTCGTGATGTTATGTTCAGATTATGTACTTTCTGATATTTTATTTGCATTTTTCAGAAACATTGAATACCATGGTATTTCTTTGATTGGAAGACGGGGGTTTACCTTTTAGGTCAGATCCGTTGAAGTTCCTTTCGTACATCTATAAACTTAAATAAAGTTTTATTAACTTTTGAACGATTTACCTATGAAAATTCGAATTTGATCTTGCATTTCAAATTTTATCACTAAGTTACGTGACAAATAAACATTTTATTATAAAATGGGTTTTAAAAAACCCTTAACAATGCACAATATTATCAGGGTGGTAGCAACGCCTAATGAAAGTAATTATCTAAGCTGTTAAACAGTAATTTGAGGTCGCCCTTAATTATTTCTGATTAAAACAAATACACAATGCCTTATGAGTAATCAATTTTTTTTTTATTTTGATGCAATTTAACGCATGACTCGAGCTGCACATATACACACTTATTCTTCTGAAAGTTCAAAAAGTGAATGCATTAATAATGAAAACGAATCTCAAATTAAAACTACATTAGAATTTTGTTTAAATTTACGTAGAAGAGTTGAAGAGAATGGAGATCTGAAATATGGATTTATACTCATTTTAAGGTCAGACGAGACGTTCCTAAAAATCTGTTTTGTATATCTTCGTAATGTATGAAAAATATTCAAAATTTTCATAACATTCTGATTTCTAAACCAGTTTCTAAACGTTTTTAAAAAATCCAAACACTTAAACATTTGAAATTGGAAAATTATTTTTCTTCCCCAAAGGATTATATGAGAAAAACTATCCCTGGTATCTTGCAGAAATGCCTGGTAAGGTACCTCAATTCTTTGTGAGAAAACATGTTTAAGTAGCAATACTTCAATGACAAACTCTTAGAAAAATTTATCTGTTATTAAGGAACGTCTCGTCTGTCCTTAAATTGTCTAGAAAGGCTTTTTATAGCGAGCTTTGAATTTTATAACTTCTCAATATCAATGTGAATTTGTAATTCCAATAAATCAATATTCTTTGCATTTCTAACAACTAGTCATAGTCAAAATTACTCTGAATAATTGAAAGTAAACATTAATAATCTTAAAAACCTTATATCACCATAGATAATACACCTTTCGAAGAATAATATAAAGATTAACAACGATAAGAAATGGCTTATCACATCTATGCTAAGTTGGCCAATTTTCAAAATTTTCTAGTCCGTTAAGATAACAAAATAATGACTACTAACTTCCATATCTTTTCTTTAGCCGATCAATGGATCCCAAAAACTTGCAATCAAGCAAACGAGTTATATATCAAGAGTGAGACACAAAAAAACTCATATAACTGGTTATGCCTCTGTTTTTCTAGAATTCGGATGAGTTACTGTAAGGTCAAATGACATTTTTTTATGTTTCTACTAAGTGAATATTCAATGATTTGATTTGATTATGTAATGACTAAATAATTCACCTTTTAAACTTGATTAACTTCATTCGAAATTCATGATTTCTAGTGTTATATTTTTACCTTTTCGAAATATAAAGCATCATACATTCCATGGATTGACAGCTTGTCTTTTGAAGATCAATAAAAATATCAATAGAAATAAGTTTGTTTTAAATTAGCATTTCATGAAGAATATGTAAACGTTAATAATTGTTACGAAATAAACCTATTCTTATGATTAAATTAATGCTTGTAGAGAATTTTTTCCCCGACCACATAAGAATAAGCCGGGATCAATGAATTATTGCAGCCCGGAGGACCGGGCTGCTCTATACATATAAGTTTAAGTGTTGGTGTATGGGGATTGGGGTGGGAGTAGTTATGTAGAATTAAAGGTTTTCTAAACATTGAAAAGATTGTTAATCAGATTGTTCTTTCCGTTTATAAATTACAAGATACATAATGTATTTACTTCCATAAAGTTTATCTGTAAAAATGTATATGTTTTTCATATTTTATATATAAAGTTACTTATCATTTACTATCGAAACAATGACAGGTCCCTTTTTTTTAGAACATCGAATTTTACTTCTCGGATAAAAACGTACTCTGCACAGTTCGTGTTTTATATTCTAAAATTGAAAATTAATACATTTTTAAATATAAATGATGCGTGTATCTTACTTCAATTTATATTTTATGCAGCCAACATTTACTTGAGGAATTGATCAAGTTTAAAATGGTATCGTTTTTGATTGATTTTTATCCGACTAAGTTTTTAAAAATATTTGCGACTATCGTCTCCATCAATTAGACGCATGCCTTTTTATACATATCGAAGCTGTTTGTTGATCAAGACTCATTTTCATTGTTTACTTTATATATTGCCCGGGCGACAATTGATGGTTACATCAATGTTTTCTTGTTGAACATTGTTATACCCTTATCAATAGCTTTCTATATATTTATTACTAATAAAAAGTCCAACAAAGGAAATGTTTATTACATCGGTCTAACAATTTCACTGTTGACCGGCCTGCCGATCCAACATAAGAATTTTTAGACCGCAACGTCACTGCTACGTCACAAGTAATTAATCATCGTTCAATATCGGCGACACGGAAATAGCCGAAGTTAGAGCTGCAAGAGTTGTTGCTACCAGCAAGGTAAGGAAGGAGGGAAGAGTATGTTTTATAATAAATAGTTTTTGTGATAAAAAAATATAATTAATTTTGTTCTTTCTCAGCTATTGTTTTATATTCCATATAAAGTAATTGATAACATAAAGTGTATTGATTAAATCTTAAATGAGCACTGTTCAAAGGGTATAACAAAACAGTTAAAGACTGGGATTCGGGCAACATATGATTTGTTGGACCTGAAGGTGAAAATGTTGCCCTTGGCCTGCGGCCTCGGGCAACATTTTCACCTTCAGGTTCAACAAATCATATGTTGCCCTCAGACCCAGTCAATATCTGTATAACATTTTTACACTTCAAAGACATAGGTTTTGTATGTAGAATCTCAGATACCTATGGACGTTAAATGTACACAGTTTAAGAAAAGGTATGACATTTCCACTGAACTTGGCAGTATCAAATTCATCAGGAAAGCTTTTGTTATCTCTGTAAGTACATTTTAACGAGATATATATTTCTTATTTGTGTGTAAATCATTAGTACATATCTAAATGTAAAAGTTAAGATTACAAACAATGATCGAGTTCTAAAAATCTACAAACGATACAAAGCGAACAGGTCAATAAACACGGGCCATTGAAAGTTACAGAGGTGGGATAAGGAGTGTGCATCCCCTGTTGACCGTTCACATCCACTGGAAACCCTGTGTTTGACCATGCAAGAAGAATATTCCACAGTCTTGTTCAGTAAAAAAAGATAGGACTAACATTCAAGCCAGCCAAAATACAAACCAATAATTTTTTTAAATTACTATCAGGGTCATTGTAGAGATCATAGAATTATCAAAACGCTGTTGTTGAAATCACTGTAACATCATTTTTTGCTAGTTGCCTGTCTCTGTTTATAATGGATCGTCCTCTGAGTACGCCCTTGAGTATCGAACAAGTTAGAAAACCATATACACCATATACAGTGATAAAGGTAAAATACAATATAAAATAGGAAAAGCTGAATTCATCTCGTTTGTCATAAACAGTTAACTTGTTTTGTTTGTCCTAATCGTATTCAGTTAGTAAAACAGCAAAATATGAAACAAATGTGGGTGATTAAGGTAGGACCAAATAGATAGGTGAAATTTTTCCTCAAATTCAATTTTTCTGAAACTTTGATATTTTGTTCTTGGATACAAAATCTCTCTTTATACATGATCTGAAAGAAATTCAACCGCACATTTTTTGCCCACATAGTCTGAAATATGGCCTATCAGACCCCTGTAAGAAGATTGCAAAATCAGACATTCGACTTGAGAATGAGCCTTATTTTAGAATTTTCAATTGATCTATTGCAAATTTGTGTAATACTTTCAATAAAGATAACCTTTTTGTTACTTTAAATCAGTAAGTCACATTGATACTGGAAAATTTGGGTAAAATATTAAGTAAAATAGAACATACATTGTATCAGAAACTGAAAATTCACATGTAAATATCCGACAGTTTATGTTTTCTTAAGAGAAAATGTATAATTCAATTTTTACAAAAAATCAACAGAATGATTCAAACGGGTCCTAGAATAAAATGTGTAAAAATAAAGAAAATTGAACCGGTGGTATAAGATATTTTGGCGATTAAAAAAAATTCAATGGCAAAAAAAAAATGAAAGATTCAGAAGATGACGTCACAATATTTGACCTTTGACCTCGTGATATGACCTTGACATTTGTAGTACATGAAGAATAGAGACTCCTTATATATGTGTCCAAATATCTCCCCTCTACTATTTATGGAACAAAAGTTGCACTGCATTTTATAACAGACTGTTACATGCTTGTTTATTGCACTTAGATAGCGTAAACACATTCCAAAATGTAAGCTCCCAAGTGACCAATATATAGGATTCTCTGATTTTTTCACAAAATATAACGCAAATATGCCAAAACTTATTATTTTTCTTTCAGGGATCATTCATTGTTGTCAATATAGTAAAATTATTCTTTTTTCCTCCAGTAATTTTTAAGAAATGGGTTAAAATAGAATTCTCGGGTGTTTTGTCCTACCTTAATTTACGCATAAAGTTTGTAACTTTGTGAATAAGGATTATATATTGGTGATAAGGAAACATTCATTCAGTTACACAATACATGGCGATCTCTGGCTGATATCACTGTAATGTAATACCAAGCAATCATTTTGTTTAAATATATATTGAAAAAGACATCATTTAGAAGACTCTTTCCCATAAATTCATACCCGTTTAATAAAGAATAACGTAGATGATTTTACATTTTATTCCTTGATTATCAAATACACATAATCCTGGCTATTGCAGCTTAGTTCAGTTGCATGTATACTTGTACGTGACTACAGAAATGTGCCAGTGACCTTCCCATTGCTGTTAAGGCGTCCTTGGTTATTGGCTGCATGGCTGACCCGGCGTCAATTAGTTCGATCAAGTTTTTCTATTAACATATTATAATGAAAAGTCATCAACAAAAAGTTTTCAAAAGGAACAGTTCATTATTTTTTTTTCATACTTTACATTTATGAGAATTAACGATGGAATTACAAGAAATACATCTCCATTTCTTATAGCAAGTAAGTAATAGTTATTTTTCTTCTTTCAGAATCAGGATATTTTAGGTCATATTTTGCAAATCTGATTATATATTGTGAGACCAAAAAAATTGATCAAATAAGTCAATTAAACAAATTTTATAAACGGATTCTTAACCATGATAACGAGTTCCTGTAATTTTTTTGTGACAAGGAAACTTTAAAGAGTAATCAAATTACCTCCAAAACGTGCAGTCCGTGTGATGTATGAACGTCAATTTGTTCTTGTGCTGATGTTTTATATAAATAACAGATATGTAATGAGGATTTCACAGCAAGGACATGCTATTATAATAAAATACATGATTTTATAACAGTGAAAATAAGTTTTCCAAATAATCCATTGTTTTGTATAATGCAAATACGATTTCTTTTCATTTTTATGAAAATCGCAAAAATAATATTTTCTTACAAAATTCTGCAAGAAAAAAGTGAATAAATAGTCGTACTGTACTGTAGTCATAATAAAAGGTAAAAGACTCCAATTCGTTTGGTTCATGTGTTGTTTTAGGTGCGTGGGTGTGATGATGATGGTGACCATGCGCAGTGGTGGTTGTCATTGGTTCAGATGTTGTTGAGGCCATAATTGGCCGAAAAATCTAAAATGCAACCCAATAACACGAATCATACAAGTATAATTATTACACAGATGGAACATAATGATTATAAGATATGTTTCTTTGATGTGTTCTATTTTTAAAAAAAGATGAAAGGGAAAATAAAAGAAATTTACTTCAAAACAGTAATACAATTTATGGTGTTTGTTTTATATAGTCGACAATTAAAAAAAAAACCGGTCATGTGCTCCTTGTGAAAGACTTGATGAAGAAGAGACTGCATGCTGTATACCAGTATTTAAAACTTAACAAGAGACCAAGCCGTAGACAGTTTTCCCCCGAATATTTTAACTTCATTTTTTAGACTTCTTTAAACTTTTAACTAGAAATATTAAATGACTTTAAATGATAAAATAATAATTTATTGAGATCTAGTAGAATCTATTCTTAAGGATTAACAGAAACATCAGCGACATATGTCAATGAGGGTGATCGTGTAGAAGCGAAGTTATATTTGTCTTATTTTGATAACGGTACATATATTGTATGTATATAGAGGACATACTAGAACTAAAAGTATTTGCCAAAAAGGAAACATTCAGTGTGTATGTACTGTGTATGCCATTATAGTATCAAGGTGATCAAATATTGAGAGAGAGAGAGAGAGAGAGAGAGAGAGAGAGAGAGAGAGAATTAAAATCCTTATTCTATATCCAAAGGCTTATTTAAACGAAAACTGGAAGAAAATGTAGAATTAAGGTAAAATCAAATACTTACGATGCCAGAAAAGCATGTAAATATCAGTAAAGACAGAATCATTGTTGGTCTATGTAACAGCTTCTGGAACACCTCTAAACACAGGTAGTGGTAACAGTTCTCTTATCTTTCGTGTTATATTGCAGTGCTCTATCAGAAACCTTGACATTAGTCGAAAATTTAAGTATTTGTGCTTAAAATGTACAGAAACTTGAGAATTTTTATATTCTGTTTCATCTTTTTTGGTATATTTGGTGTTAAGTGGTTGTGACTGGTCGGCAGGGGATGCTCGCTCCTCTATGGAACCTAATCCCGCCTCTGATGTTTTGGAGGTCCGTGTTTGCTCTGTTCCTATTTGTACTGTTTTATGGACTTTTGGTCCTGAATATTGTGCGTTATATCTCCATATGTTTCAAGCATGCGTGTTTTGTGATATTAAAATAAAAAAGGAAAGGCATTCTATGCATAATCTTCACCCGAATCTGCAATGTGAATGATTAAAATGAAGAAATGTATTTGCTTTTTATTTTTTGTCTAAATAACGTAGATAAAGTATTGGAGAAAACAACTCTATAGCTTTTTACCCACGCAGTTAATAAATCTAAGATTACTTTTCTTCCAGAAAAATGACATTATATTTTATGTACAAAAAATACTGTTTTCAATTGCATTCTTGTATGGCAAATACGAATAAGAAATTCTACTTTCCTTTATTTGCTTTTCATCATTTGAATCATTTTCTAGCGGATGCAATTTGCAAATAAAATATTCATGTTTACAATATAATTGAAAGCTTTTTGTTCCAGCCCAGAGGATGGGGAGACTATTAACATTAAAACGATTACATTGCTATCGTAATTGTATTTTAGGAATTGTAAAATTAAAGCAACATATTGAAGGGACGGATTCTTTTTAACTAATGACATAATGATAAATAAGTACGAGATAATATTGAATTATGAAATTTTATTATCAGTGTAAATATTTAAATGAAATGTCTAGCATTCAAGAGTCATTTGCTACTTACTATTCTCAAATAAATGTTACCGTTAAATGATAATTTGTGAGTTTGCCTTTACAAATTGTTAAAATTGCCATTAGGTATCTATTACAATGGATGATTATTACGGTAGAATCTGGCCTGTCAATACAACATCTCTTCTCGGGAAAAAAGAATAAGATATCTTTCTAAAATCAGGTACTTAACTTATCAATATAAAATGAAGTATAAAGAATGATTTGAATGTAAGAAACAATACAGATTTTACATCTGATCAATAGCAGTTTGACATACGAGTATATAAAGAAACATGCTTGAAAGAAAAAATAAAATCTGGTTCTGAAGTTAAATGGTATCATAACGGAACCACTTAAAAGGCAATAAATGTGGAAACAGGACAAAATTAATATATAAAAATCAATCAATTTACTTCTAAATTACAATCAAACATTTGTTTTATTATACAGTAGGTTCGCAAACTTCAACATGTAAAAATAAGTAAAAAACGTATGCAATGAAAGAAAAAAAACCCTGGTTAATTTGATAGATTTATGTAACATATGTTGACTTACTATATATTATATTAGATTATCAAAAATAAATACTTAATTGTCTGTCATATATAAATAATTAGAGTAATGGAATATAACGCTAGACTGAATTAGCCGACGGCAATTTTCCTGTCATATAAAAATGGATAAACGATGCAGGGATAATAGTGTTACAGTGGATGAACGAAACCTGTGTACCATCCAAATATAAAATGAAGACAATGGCGGTAACATATTTTTTTTACACTTTAAAATAGTGAAATGTGATTAAAACAATTTTTATTTTATTTTTCAAAGTTAAAAACTAATAAAAGTTATGATATTTTTATACATTTCAGTTCTTTTCTCTCGTATTCATTGCTTTCTTGGTACAACTGTATGGAGCTGACGCATGTCTTTGTGAATTCACTGACCTTCAAAATAAATACTGCAAATCTGATTTTGGTGGGTCTCTTTCTCTCTCTCTCTCGTTCTGAAAATTATCCCTGATTTTTTGCATCGCATTTTTCTTACACAATAGAAGAGACTATAGATTATTTATTTTACGGAATAATGTACTAAAAGAGTAGTGAAAATTTTAGAATGCAGTGACCATTACTTTTCAATCTAAAGAATTTGTCTACGATTTAACCGGACAACCATCGTATATATTTATCTATTTGCACAGTCATGTGCAGCACACGAAATTGTAAAGGTTATTATCTTTGACATAAGGATTCTAGGCATTTTTTGTTTTATTTTTACTCTTATCAAATAGACTTTTAATCTATATGAATAATGTTATCTGATTATACAACTAGCAAAGTGGCCTTCGTTGTCATTCTGATTTTTTGAGAAAAAATATTTAAAATTGTTTAAATTGCTCAAATATTAAAATAATGTTTTTCAGCTGTTCGTGGCAAAGTTACAAAACTGACTTACGGAGAAGGAATAATAGGGATAGATGCAGAAATAACCTATGAAGTGGAAATCTCGAAAGTTTATAAAGGCGCAAGTATTTTATTAAGAAATGAATTAAATAGCAACTTATATCATTATAACTTGTGTTGCTATTTAATTTATTCCTTATGATTTAATCTTCAATCTTAAGTTTATAAATTTATAAAACAAAACACTTTCTCCCTTGAAAACGCCTTCAAACCTTTCATATTTTAAACTCAATGTCAAGCGGATTGATACAATTTTGACTTAAGGTAGGATTCTTCTCATATTTCTAATATTTAAAAATTGATGAAATTTTCACAGAATCAAGAAGACAATATCACTAAGTGATAGTATCAGTGAGATTCAATTTGACCGTTTTATATTAGAGGCAAGGTCAGGTCAAGGTCATTATCTTTTTCCTTGACATTATGAATAAAAAAAATACTGTTGCCAATCATGTGATGCTTACTTCTATTTCAAAAGTTTAAAGATTGTTCTTCTTGCTTAAAAAGATTTTACTATATCGGGTCTATAGCATGATATTACCAAATTTACATAAATAATTTAACTGAACTGGATATTGACTAGTCCGAATTTTCTCTGTTTTTCTTAATTTTTTTTTAGGATATATTAGTTATTTTCATATGCTTCCTATATTTAACTTTTTCTTATTTTCACATATAATAAAGTAGTCTCATAAATGTACAAAATGATACAAAAACAAAAAGTTTTGATAGTTTACTAAGAGAGAAAAAATACTTTTTATGGATTTTTGGATCAAATCTGCACTTTGATAGGAAGCGTTTAAAAGCTAACAAAGTTGTAGTTTGTTTGAAAAGTCATATTTATTTGATATATTTTGAAAGTTTAGTCCCTCATTATTAATTTAACTTACTTTTGAAAATTTCTCCAAGTCTTCGATTGTGTTAAAATTATAACTAAATTCATTGTTCTATTATAATTTTGAGAGGCAGAAAAGAAGATATTTTCATACGCCACCATTCCGCCAAAAACATAGTCCCTGCCAGTTTTCAAACGCAGTTTACCATTTCTATTTAAAGTTGTACAATTGTGATGAGGAAAAAAAAATGGTCTTTGAAATCCCTTACACCTCAATATATAAGACATATAAGCAAATATACTTTGAATGTTTCATCTAGTCAGAAACCAGAGAAGAACCCTACCTTAAGTTATTGTGACGTAGGCAAACTACATGTAGATTATACAATTTTTATTAATTTTTTATCCAATCAAAAGACGTGTTACAAACAAAATTAAATTATTCAATTCTTAAAGCTGACATGAACTCTTAAAAAGGCATCATTTTTCATCTTTGTACGACTTACTACATTCCTGTACGCCTTTGTCCGCCATATTTCTTCGATTCCGCCATATTTACTTGAAAATTTCTGGCCACCTGTACCTGTTATATAAAGCCTGGTGCATTTGTTTCACTTGAGTGATTTTCTAGCCTGGCTGTCGACATGTACACATCTCCGATAGCATAGTTGTCTAAATCCATAAACTGACCTATTACATGTTTTAAAAGTTAAGAAAAACTAGAACTATACTGAAAAATAAATTATTTTTGAATGCATTTGCTGCAATTTAGAAAAAATAACACGTAAAACAGCAAAAGCCGTTTGGATATGCACGCATGCAGGTCGAGAATACGCATCAAACGCAATGATAAAGATATTTACCTGAATACTGCTATCGTTACAGGGATGTGCACATGTCGAAAGAAGTATCCTATTTTACTTTTATTGAAATATGCATCTCAGAATTCATGTAATCCATTGCTAACTGAACAGTAAAAAATTGTCACCACATAGCACTTGGACACACGTGGTCCACGACGATAGTCTATTTGGTCAGGGGAAATTTCAAAGGTGGAAAGCTTACTGGTATTTTGGTTGACGGAAAAAGTGCATTTTTTTCCAAAAATAAATATTACTCTTGTCTGTATATGTAAATGTAAACAAAATTTTTAGACATGGCTTAATTACATTAAATTTATTTTATTGCATGCAACGTTACGAATCATTCATCCTTTGACGAGATTCTCCCGTGAAAAGGGGGGGGGGGTGTAAAAAAAATGCATAACGCTCTCTGAAAAACATAGGATTTTTTTTACGATCAAATATTTTCATTATAAATAATGTGTATTGGCTTTATTTATTTATCTTTTTTTAAATAAAGACCTTATATAACTTGATTTAAACTTATTTTCATAATTTTATACACAATAAACGAGTTTGATTCTAGGTTACATGAATAATCAAAATAGAATTCATTGGCGGATCCAGAGGTGGAGTGGGGTTCCAGGGATTGGAACCCCCGGCCTTTATTTTTGTACACACATACAGAGAGAGAGAGAGAGAGAGAGAGAGAGAGAGAGAGAGAGAGAGAGAGAGAGAGAGAGAGAGAGAGAGAGAGAGAGAATGTTTTTTCTGTAATATAGAGTATGGATATTTATACGTCTAACAATATGAATAATTTGAAGAAATAAAAAAAAAATCTCTGTCCTTTCAGTTCTCTAGATCTGTAGATTTTCGCGGATTTGCTTTCCTCCGCGTACCTTCAATCATTTTTCAGTCAACTATTTGAATCTCTTCACCATTTTACAACAGTATACAAAAGTCACAAAAATATATTGGTGATTTTATACATAACAGTAGATCTATAAAGCATGCGTGAATAAGAAACTAAACAAAAAAATTGTACGTTGCTATAAATGTGAAGTATGGGAATTTAGGCGGGGGGCATATTTTATTTTTTTTTCTTTATAAACGAGCACAATTTTCTCAGAAAACAGTGTTTATTGTTATTCATAATGTGTTTAAAATTAATCACATTCTGAAATTTTATGCTTTTTCTGAAAGTGGCGAGCTGCACTTTAGCATGTAATGAAACTCACCTCTGAGTTCTTTTAAATTACAACGGGGACAAATTCTATCTTGTCTTGGTAACCCTGTCTAAGGGCTTCGACCACCCTCAAGTAACATGCAAGGAAGATTCCAGCGAACTTTTTTACCATTTTTGGACCATTTTCAGAAGTAACTAACTTTAAGAAGTATGCATGAAATATTTCGATTCGGTAAAGATAAAGGTTTAAAATGTTCCCGTAGTATGCAGATGAGGGAGGGGGGAGGGGGCTCACTTTTTCTGAGGATAATCTTTGCTGCAGTTTTGAATAAATTAAAATTTTGATTTGGAAGCTCCCTCCACATTTTTTGTTTGCAGGAAAATACGCAGATTCAAGCTTTCAAAAGTAATGTACTGAACAGAAAAGTTACAGGAAGCCTCCTTTATCCCCTACCAAAAAGGATTGTATAGAGTGTGGTGCATAGGATTTTTTGTTTTGTTTTGTTTTGTTTTTTTTTTTTTTTTGTCAACTGATTTTGGAGGTCCCCCATCAATATAAATTCAAGTGGCTGTGTTGTGATTCTATGCATGAGTGCCATGAGTGCGCGGATCTAGAGGGGGTTAGGACCCCCCCCCCCTCCCCTAGGATTTGCAAGGTTATTAAATTTATTTACTAAAGCAAGAAAAAAAAGTTACGTAGGAAACGCAGTCTCCCTGGTAAACGCGAATTTGTATTAAATTGGTATGAAAAGGCTAAGGTTTGAAGTATTAGAAGTCATCGGCTACCCCCCCCCCCCCCCCTCCGAAATAGGTTTTGAAGTTTGGGCGAGTTGCATGTCAAGAAATATCTGGGTTGGATATAAATCATCAATAGTCGAAGCATATAGGAAGGGAAAGCCAACTGCCGATGAGAGTTCCACATTCTACCAAAAATTAGCTTTTTTATACCTCTTGTCTAAATAATTTTTGTCCAGATTCCTTACCTGAGAAGGTACATGTATTTAAGAAAGTTCCCAATGTTCCCATTCCTATGATGTAGACTTCCCGTTTACATGTATTTTCCTTTCAATTTCGGCGTTTAGGTTTATTTTCTTGTCAAAAGTAAAATTATCATTTCAATTTTTGAACAAGTTTCGACATCCCCGCCTGACAAAAAAAAATGTTTGATCTGTCCCAAGATCTAATAAATGGTACAGCACAAAATACATGTGATTTTATATCTATTATTGCGCTTACAGATGGTTACAGGAGGAGAGAGAGCGAGAGAGTTCAATGAATAAAAGAGTAATTAAAAATTATCTGTATTCCACCAGGTTTCAAGTTTCCCTACCAAAGTTTTTAAAAGTATCTCCCAAATATTGCAACAGAAATTATTTTTATTTTTAAAAAAAAACTAGACTGCCAGACAGGGATACTGAAATCTTGAAAGACTTCCTGTAATAATTATAGAACAGCCACATTCCGCAAAAATGTTCATACTTTGTGGTCGGAGTGAGACAATAAAAAATCTTCAAAAATGGAATTGGCAGAAATGTCTGTCTTCCAAGAGAATTTAGGTAACGGACATGTCAATTATTTCTGCCCCCCCTTAAAAATACAAATGCCTCAATATCAGTCTAAAAGGGGAATTTTTTCCGCGTGTGTGTTAAAGAACGTACAGATGTACACATAAACTTTTGTATTTTGGTTAAATGTTTTTAAGTCTTGAACTAAATATTTACCGTGTATCAAATTACTTGGTTTAGATTTGAGATTAGTACTAAAATAATCAGTTGTAATTGACAAATGAATTTTGCGATGCAAAACAACTGCAGACTATATAAAGAATGTTTATTAGAACTAAATAAACAGTTTTCAGTTATACCTTATGAAGCCGTTATAATTATACTTTAGACCCCCCCCCCCCCCCATTTCAGCCGCGCAAATACCACTCTTTTCCACTTGTGATATTTTCCCTGACCAAAATCTGATCAGCACGGACTATGTGTATCGACGCGCTAGACTGTAGTGTAGGAGTAGATACAGTGTGTTTATTGAGTTTTTATGGAGTTTATTTCTTTTTTGTGATGCATATTTCAATAAATGGAATTCAGGGTGTATATCACTTGACTTGTGCACATCTTCGAACCGATGCAGTGATCTTATTACCAGGTATGGGTACGTTTACAGCGTTCGACGCGTTTTCTCGACGTGCATCAAAGT